TAAATGGTGTCATTTTCAAACCCTGCCTCTGGCCTCTGGGAGAGTACAGAAAGCAAAACAGAAAGTGTTGGCACCCCAAGCTCCTGCAGCCCCAGCAGGCAGCATCTGGCACAGATTCCTGGTGTGCAGTTGAAGAACTCTTCCCAAGCTCCAGGGAAGGAACTTGCAAAACATCTCCAGCAAATCTTCAGGAAGGTTCTTCTTCTCCTTCCATTGTGCTGTCATTTCCCAAGCTTCTGCACCCTCAGATTTGTCTCACTTTTTGGCTATCAGCCAAGGAGTTTGACCCTTGAAATAGCAGACAAATGGGTTCACATGAAAGCGGCCAGGCAGAATTAACAGCAATAATCATCAGTTACAGCAACCTAGTTACAGGTTTTGGTAGAGATGGATCCTGAAACTGAGCTGTCACATTCAGGGTGGTGCAAGCCCAGCTTTTACCTTTCAGGTTCTTCTTGAAATGCAAATTGCTTATGTTTGGAAAGAGCAGCTGATCAGTGAAATTTCACTGATTCACAACCTCTGGTTCATCACCAGTGGCCAATGAGATTATACTGGTATCAGGGGCTGTAGGAACAGCCATCTGAAATGGTTATCTAATACAGTGAAAAAAAACCATGTTGTGATCTGCAGCAGCCCCAGGGAACGTTTGTCACCATTTTCTGACCCTTATGATAGGTGAGCAGGTATCTTACATACAGTTTTTCCCCAGCAGTAGATCAGTTATCTTTCACCTTCTAAACAAATGCTGCAGATAATCTCAGGTCCTTTCCCTCTCCCTCTGCATATGCTGCCTGAATTGCTGAGTTCTCTTGGTAGTCAGCTGTATGAGACACTCACAACTTGATGCCCAACAGAGGCAAAACTTAGAGAGGCACTGTGGGACTGGTGAAATACCCGTACACACTGGGTAGCACCTATCAGCATTTAGTGTCAGAGGCCGAATTCATAGAAGCATTTTGGTGTACAACTCCCACTTAGATACCTGCTTCCTAAAGAAACCAGTGTGAATCAGCTACCTCAGCGCCCTTGAGAATTAGCTCCAAGAGCCGAGTTTTCTTTACAGCTGGAGCCTAACAATTCCTTTTGCCAAGATGGAAAAGGGGCTGCTGGTTTTCAAAGGAAAGTAAAAATGAAACAGTTTTTCAAGTTGGCAGACTCTCCTCCAAACGATCATATTCAGAAAGGTCTAAAAATGCTTTTTGCTGAATTATGTTCAGCTTTTTCAGGGTGTGCCAAAAGAAGCATTAAACAAGTCTCGGAAGGTCATGGATTCTGCTGCCCACATAAAGCATCTTTAGAGTCCAGCAGCTAATTTGAAACCAACCAATGATATGGACAGAATGATCCAAGATCATGAAGAAGAAAAAAGACATGAGGATAACAGCATGTGTTGACGCTCTGTGCATGTCTGCATTTGCTGACAGAAAGTAGGTAAGTGCTATAGAAGCTGTGGCACCAAAGCCTCTTGTGGCTTGTAAGTCAGGAGCATCTCCACTGGTAACAGAAGAGTTACACTGGGGCAAAGCTGGAAGCACATAAAAATCAAACTTATTTTGCTCAACCTATCCCTCCTTCCCTGCCTCTTTGCTAGCACAGCTCAGCTACTTTCAGGAGTTCTGGCAATTGCATTTCAAGGTCCCCTGTGCCTCAGGTAAAAGCTTTCTCACCAATATATCAGCCAAAAAACAGCCCAAGAAATAAACCAGATACAATATCATCTTAAGACTCCTTTACCTTTCAGTAGCAGTATCAAGACAACATAACAGATGTACAGTCTGTTTGCTTTTAGCTCAGGCAAACCCAAGCAAAGGCAATCCCATGCAATGCAATCACAAGTAAGTTACAAACCAAAAATACACTACCAACATCAAAGGGAACAGGAAATACTGACAGGTTCTGTGAGGGAGCTGTAAGTTTTTGAGGATTAAAGAGAGCCAGCATTTTAAGAAGGAGCTAAAACATCCAAACCACCTACCTTGTGGGCTGAGCACTACAAGACTGGGGTAGAAATTCACTGCTGCTACTACCATAACCTTCCAAAACAAGGCACCACTAGGCTGCCTGTTTGGGTCTTTAGTAACTGTTTTGTAGTTAACAGGTGTGCAATTAAAACACCACACTTGTGTGGCATTCATTTAAAGAAGTGCTGTTCCAATTAGCTTCACAGCTGCAAAGACTTATAACAGGGAGCTGGGTCTTACATTAATGAGATACATTACTGAAAAACCAAACATGAATCTCTCATGGCTCTGCAGTTCTTTCTGTGCCATTTCAGCTTCTCCAATCATCTCATGAGAACATCATGCATGGAAAAGTTTCATCCAAAGGACAATGTTGGCATGAGAAGAAATGGTTGTGAATACCATGAATTAGTTTAGGTTGAAAGTTGCAAGGAGTTTCCAAACTGAGAGCAATCTGAGTCAGGAATAGCCTGTGGGAAGGGGAGGCCAGTGACACAGCATGGTAGAAACCTCGCTGTTGTTTAGATAAAGTCCAATGGATTTCTGAAAGGGCAAAATGACAAATGGATTGGAACAGTCAGGGGCCGGGCTCGTTTCCACGGGCAGTCCCCGCAGGCTGTTGTGCACAAGGGAAGCACATCTCTCCCTCTATCATACTCTGGTGGTGCTAAAAGGTTGCGTGGAATCAGTTGGAAAAAAGTAACAGTTTATAAACAGATGAATAGCAGAGTGCAGGACGTGGTTGTGGTGGTGACCACCTCAGCTGACACAGCTGCAGCCAGGGGAAGCCGTTGTGCGCAGCCTGTGATCCGTATGTACAGCGCTGCAGGAACTCTGGTGGTAAAAGCTATATAGTGGTGCTGTGGGAGAGGGTGCTTAGCTCCTTTTATAGTGGCTGTGTTAAGAGCAGGACCTTAGTGTCTCAGTCTAACTAATGAATTACTGCTTGTGGGTAACTGATCTCTGCAGAGATCTTTAAATACCGACACTTCTCTCTATCACCCAGAAACTTCTGGGTTGCAAACTGTCTTTCCCCCTTACTTGAAGGGTCAAGGAAAGGGGACATGTTTCAGGGAACAGATTTAGCCTTCCACTCCTTTGCCCATTTTCTAAGAAAAGTATATTGTGATGTTCACTTTGGTCTAATAGTATAAATTTTCTTGATGAGTAGTTCAGACTTGAGGCATTAACAAAGGGAGGTCAGGAGGGATAATTAAGATGCACAGATGCAAATCATTACTGACACTGCAAATCTGCATGCGACCTTTGGTCAACATTTCTAAAAAGCCATGTGGACTGATTTCTGCAATAAACACCCATTAGGATATCACTGGGGTATTCTGCCATAGGCTTTAGTGCAGCTACTTGCAAGCCTGCAATTTAGAAAGATTTTAGAATTTCTTGCTGACCAGGGCTCATTGTCCTGAGAGTTATTCCTGCCCATGGGAAGTGCTCCATTTTAGCCAGAGACAAGAGACTAGGAGATTCTCTTTGTACAAGGTAACTCCACAGCTCCTGGAGAAGGTGTTACCATTCCCGCATGCCCAAGGAGCAGCCTCTTGAGGAGCTGGCAGGGGGCTGTGCTTGATGCTCTGAATCTGATCGAGAAACAGTCCTTGTTTGATAGTTATTAATCATGGAATCTCTACATTCCCAGTGTACAGTGGCTACTGGGAGGTTTTCAGCAACGCCTTAATTTAGTCCCAACTAAATTGTTACTTTTTTGCTTTAATAAAAAATACATAAGATTTTGAAATATTCATGAATGATTCCAGCTTGGAAAATGAAAATGACCCTTAAATCTATACAGGGCAGTTCCTTCGGGCACTTTTAATGCAATAATTTATTAAGTTCCTATATTCATCATGTGTGCACAAATATCATGTAAATATTACAGCTGTACTCCATGACAAAACAAGCATAAAGCAGACATAGAATTATACAGAGAACTGACAAATGGGGAAGAAGGGAGATCTAGTATTTTCTGTACAAAAAATACGCGGCTTTTTGATAATTTGTAAAAATGCATAACTTTCGGCATGTCAGAGAAGAACACTGTATAAAAATAAATATTCTATGTACAGTAACACACACAGGCCAGTCCAGGGTTAGAATCATCACTGCAAAAGAAAATGTAAATGAGTGTTAGTGACAATTCACCAACAATTGTTAGTGACAGCTCAGCAGGGGGAAGGACTGCTTCATGGGATGGAAGGACAGTGTTAGGGAAGCTGGCTCTGGGGTTTCCAGGAGGAAAAGAAATGGTGCTGGATCTCAGCAGAGATCCTTTCCACTGCCCTGGGCAGTGGGGATGTGAAGTTCAATTCAGGCTGACTGTCTACCTCCACTTCCTTCCTACCACTGTGGCTTGACTTTGGGCATTAATGCACACAGCAGGTACTGAAGGTGGGCTAGACCCTGAGGAGTGACACCTCAGAAGGAGACTCCTGAGGTAGATGAACCATCAGAAACAAAGGGAGAGTGGAGGGGACAGGTATTACACCCCCTCTCAGTGCTAGCCCAGAATTGAGCTAAGCAGCCCTAAGTCCTGTGCTACCAGGACACCCCTCAGCAGGAGCTCAGGGGAATCTGGTGCTGAAAGCCCCATGGGGGCTCTGCTGAAACAAGTGTGAACGTCTGTCCTGCTCCCATCAGCCTCCCGTGGCACCCAGGTTACCTAGGGTATGCCAGCTCCCAACCTTTAGTAATAAGAGTTGACTAGGTGGAAACCAAATCTTTTTGCAAGTATTGGAGCACTTCAAGGCCAGGCAGCTTAAAGGCTACAAATACAATTCTCTCTTTTTAGTCCATAAAGCTAAACTGCAGTATACAAACAAGGAAAAGTTTTGCTTGTTGCTTTCAGGGGTGTGGTCCTGGAAGTCTCATGCATGCCTCCACACCTCTTTTGATCTTAGCCAGACTCGTTGCAAAACATCAGCAGGACCTGTAGCACTGCCAGGTCAGCCCAGTCACAACACTTCCAGGATTTACCTTATTCCAGCAGCCTTGAACTGGAAGGCCGTCTTCCCCCTGCAAAAAAAGATGGATGAAATAGCAGTTTAGGACACAGAAAATAGCACTAAGATTGAGGAAAGAAGGCATGGGTTAACTATTACAGCTGCAACAAACAGTCTGAAGCAGGGCTGGAGGAATAGCCTGAAAGATATTCCTCACCCTTCTGGAATGACCCAGACTTCTGGCTAACATAACCAGTGTAGCTTGAAGAGAGGGTTGGGGCTGAAGAGGGGGGTTGCCTGCGGGTGATGCAAGGACTTATGTTCATAGGGTCTGTAGGCTCATTCTCATTCTTCACTGAGGAAGGTATTTTTCTAGGCTCCCCTGAAGGTAGGGGGGAACACAGGAGGTCCCATTCAGCTAGAAAAGTACTACAGGAAGTTGGCAGTGGAAAGCGCGAGATGGCTGATCTGTGTCATCGGGCTTGACTCTGTAATGCTGAGGTTATAGCAAACAGGCAGCACTGACCTTGGGTCCCAAGGGGAGTCTGGAGAAAAATTCCATTTCTTTTCTGCCCTGTTAAAAGGTTTGCTTTATCATGTGAGAGACTGCCCAGCTGCCCCCTCTTGCTTCTGAGAAGATCTTGCTCCAGTGAAATTAGGAAGGCAAGCAGCAGGGCAGACCGGGTGCTGGCTGAAGAGGTCTCAGCTGACTCCCTGAGAGGGGCTTTTGCCTCAGTCAGGTCAGTGAGATTTCTGCAAAACTCCACTGGCACTTCTGCAACCCTGAAGTCTTGGACTACACATCCCAAAGTGGGGATGTGACTGTTTCGTTTTAATGCTGAAGAGGGTTGAATACTTTAAAGGCTGTGGCTTCTAAAAGACTGAGACTGTTTTGCTGGGAAATGCTTTTGTGAATTACTGCCATTAATTTCATCTCAGCGAAGCCTAAATTGATGTGAGAAAAGGAGGAATTATGTCAGTGACGCTTAATCTCCTGCTTTTGAGCAGGAGGGAGAGTCAGATGTAAGGAGATACACCTCTGACATGAGAAGCCCAAAAATTCTGTTCTGTGTGTTGGATTCGTGGGCTGTTTCTATTCCCCAAGAAAACTCAGGAGCAGGGAGTGAACTTGTACAGCGCACAATGCAGGCACATTTCTTTATTGAAATGACTTAGTTGTCACTTCTTCAAGTACTGTGTGAGAGATCTGAAGTGCGTATCATGCCATTTGTGAAGGTGAGAGGGGAAAAAACACCAAACAGAAAAGCAAATGCATGGTACTGTATCAAGAAAACTTGATAAACTATTTAAAGGAGATGCACTTTCAAGGGACTGATGAACTGACCGTTGCCATGATGCTACAATCATACTGCTTTTCAAATGCATTTTCTGGACTGTGCCCTCCTTGTGCTACTTCCTCCCCCACCCTCCCACACTGTGGAAATACTGAATTACAGGTAAATTGTGGTGTTCCCATTGGTACTTTGGTGGTGGTGAGAATGACTGTGTAGTGCATTGCAGGAGGAGATGGGAAGTTAGGTGTATGAAGGATGGGAGGCCAGGGCGTTATATCTTAGGGATCAAAGGAAGACCAGGGTCACAAGGAAGTGTTTGTTGTAGGCGATTTTGCCAAGAATGGAAATGCAACATGCTTATTAGTACCAAGTATCTCTTTCCACATATCTCAGATGTGTAAAGCATTAGGTCACGGCCTCCACAAGTTACACACGTGGATGTGTCAGCTGTATGCTAAGCTTTTAACTGGGTTGGATCTAAACCCATGCTTATTCACATTCCCAAGCTAACTTGCATGCCAGAACACTATCTATATATATAAAACAATGGCATCTCTATTTCACCAAATTTTTTTGTTGAGTCTCCACTAATAAAAAGAGGTATGAAAAGAAGTATACATTCTAATATAGCCATGTGGGGTGAATCCTAACTGAGAGCAGAGACATTAAAGAGAAAGGTAGTCTACCAAAGAGACAACAGCACTCTCAAAAAGGATGGAATGCTGGAAGGAAGACTAATGCTAGATCTTCACAAAGGTCAAACAACAAAGACTTTTAATTTCAGGGGTAGTTTCCTCAGGAAACCAAGAAAACCTTCCCACCTGAATGGGGCTTTTTTCATCTGGGACATATTTTTCCAGCTAGTTGAACTAACTGCTATCCCATCCCTTGCAAATGGCATCAAACCCTTTTAAGTGAGCATAAAGCTTGGAACAGCCACCCTCAAGCAAACATAGTCATGCCAAACAAGGTCCTGAAGGGCATGAGAGTACAAGTTCCAATGTATTACGGGAACAGGCAATTCCAAATTCAAGTTTCTTGGATGATATGGGACCATTTGGACTTCTGGGGAGAGTCACAAATAGGAATTATCTAGCAGAAATCAAGGGAGATATGTGTCCAGTTAGTATGTTTAAGAGGATAACTTTTTTTTCAGTCATATTAACGCATAGGCTGATTAATACTGAGCAGTGTCAGGCTGTGCTAGCCATGTACAAGCATTCAAAAATAGAGTTACTGAAGGACATCAGCATGGCAGCTCCTTGCTAGAAAGCCAAGCCAGTGCAGAGGCAGTTCTTTGTATGTTAGTCTACTGAAAGATGCTGAAGCAAAGACAAAGAAAGAATTGAGGCAGTTGTAAATAAGTTCACATTTCTGTTATGTTTTTCCTCATGCCACAAGGTAATGCTGACAGCAGCTGTGAATCATAGCACGAAGGGAAGGGGCTGTTTTTGACAACAGCAGTGTGATGCAGCTTGGGTGGGGATAGGTAAAGAAGGAATTGCCAGATGTTTCTATGGCATGCACCTGTTCAGAGGTATTAGAAAGTGACAACCAAGATACAAAAAGCAAACAGGCATGTAGGAAAGGGAAGGTACACCATACCAATGGGCATGGGGCATCCAGGCCGTCCAGCCCAGGTAACCCCGGCTCACCCTTCTCGCCTTTAAAACCTCGGAGACCCTGTTTATGAAATCAACCACTATCGTTATTTCAGTTAATGCCAGTCACCTCCATGTCATGGGAGGAGAGGCCAGGTCCCCCACTGGGACTGTCACAGGGCACTCTGCTGCATACCCGTAACACAGATGGCCCATGTTTGCAGTTTTAGTTGTGTTTGTGTAGCCAGTAGTAGTGGCTTCCTTATTGTTTTTTTCTGTAATCTACAAGTCAGGAGATACTTCTCCGAGTTAAATCTGAGAGGATGGGAATGGTTTTTCACCTATTCTGAAATGATCCATTCTCCCTATCCTCACCAGGAAACCCAGCAGCTGGATTTCTAGATGCATGATTCACAAGTACTTCTAGGATTTTTGGCAGTGTTTGCTGCAGCATTTGAGTTTAGATGGAAATGTATACATATTCTTATATTTATTAATTTGCCTAGATTTATAGACAATCTATTTTGACAGAAACATATCCCATTAAAAATAACTGATATTTATTTTCCCTCTGGGTAATGCAGCTCAAGTGCCCTGTATCACTCCCAGGCAACCACATCAGCTGGCCATTATTCCAAGGCAAGAAAAACAGCATTCAGGTTTTGCCATTACATAGACACGATGACATTAAACATCTCCAGAGAAGAGCCAGCAAAGGAGACACAGGGCTCTATCCACAAAGGAGAAAGCCCTGGGCTCCCAGCACACACATGGGACACCCCCATGTATTCCAAACCTTTGTGAGCTCTGGAAGAGGAAGGAATATAACTATGGTCACTCAACAGCCTGGTTGCCCAGAGGATCAGTGGTTTCCCACTGAAGAAAGCAGCTTTGTCACAGATTACAGTGGGAACCAGGCTGGGCCTTATCTGAGTGTTGTACTTTTGCAAGACCATTATTTGTGTTATGATTTCCTTCTTTCTTCCCCATCAACAAATCTTAAAACAATACATTTGATGAAACAGAACATACCAACGGACAGGGTGCATCTAATCCAGGCGCTCCTTGGTCTCCCTTATCCCCTTTAGACCCTCTAGAGCCTTTCTTGCCCCTCTCCCCCTGTAAATAATAGTTTGGTCCAAGAAAAAAAGAATACACAAAAGCTTTAGGATCATCCATTTCAAACAAATGTCAGTGATAGTTTAAAAAAAAGATAAACATGTAGGAAGCATTTTAAAGGAAGAGAAATCTCCCTTTGAGATGTTAAGTGAAAAACAACGTATGGATCTACTAATTGTTACTTAGCTGCATAAACACATTGGTCATTGCTAAAAGCCCACACTGATAGACCATAAGGGCTCTGCATCAAAGGGATTAAAAGTGTGTCTGAACTTTAAGGCAGGCCTATAGTCAGCCAGGGGAGCACAACTCCTCCTCCACCAGTACCGTCATTATGAGACTGCTTCTCTAGGCTGCCTATATGTTCAGCACAGTATACATTCAGAGAGAGGTACCTTCTGGGAACTGGCTGACCCTAGGCACACAGCCTGAGAAAAAGACTCCTGGCCACCAGTGTGCCACCTCATCTCAGTCTCCATCTAGGTGGGAGGGTTCCTCCAATGCCACAGGGGCAATGCCTAGTGCCTCAGACAACAAGGCCTGCAGCAGACCCCAAGCAGGCTCTCCTACTGCAGTAAGAAGGCTCTGCTGCCATAGATGCCCTGTGTTGACTGTACTTTTCTTACTGCTCTGAATTGTCATTCGTAATGTAAACGAGTGTTTAGCAGCTTTCCCTTAAACTGTTTAATTAAACTCTTTGCCAGCAGGGGTTGCTAGCTCTTCCCTAAAAGCTGACATGGTTTGTTTTCTGTTTTGGGGGTGGGTTCTACGGGGGAGGGAAGGTTGGGAGTTTTAGTTTTAATTTTTTTTAAGATTTAAAATTACTTCTATATCCCAGAGCAGCAAAGCTTTAACTTGAATGGGTGTGCTTGCCCGAGTCTTACAGTGGTTTGTGCGCTGGGGTGCATCAGCATTGCTAAATAAAAAAAAAAGCCTGAGAATGCAGGAAGGAAGTACTCAGCCCTCCCAGTCTGCATCTGCACAGCCTGGTTGTCCTTTGGGATGCTCTGAGTAGTTGCTCCCAAAAAAAACCTGCTAGACAAAGGGCTGGTCCTCAGCAGTACAACCACATGGTAGCAACTGGTCCCTGGCCCTCTTGTTTGGCAGCACTGACATACCACCAGGAAGGTGCTATTCTTACAATGGTCTGATATCACAATTTCTCTGCAGGCTCCAAGTTGAGTTACACCAGAGCCAGGACAGGGAGGAAACAATTAATCACAGCCAAAGAGGAGATTTGCTCTCTTGTGGAGGGGCAGCATTAAGGCAATGAAAGCCAGCCACAAAAGGGGCTGAGGGAATGCCCAGATGCCCTGTTGCCCCTCCTCACCAAAGGAGGATACATCCCACCCGCAGCAGGTCAGCCAAGGCAGGGTGTTGTGCAGGTATTTGTCAGTTATACCTATACCAAATCTTTATGTGTAACAGAAGAAATTCTTAAAGCTGCTGAGCATAAAATGGGAAGGAGCTGCAGCACAGGGAACTGAATTTAGGATCCTTGTGGGCAGGGTTAAAGGAATTAAGGGATAAAATCAGACAGCACAGGTTGCTTTTTCTTCTTCAAAAAAAAATAAAAGTGTTAAACCCAAAGCTGGCAAGAGAAATGGATGGGAGAGGAGAGGAAATGAGGAGAAGTCACCCAGAACCAAGCACTGGAACACAGAGGATAATCCAGGAAAATGTGGCATGGGTTGCTCTGCAGGAAGGAGGAAGGAACCGGAAGAATGGCAGAAGAGGAGGAAGGGATAAAGGGGACAAAGGTGGACCTGTAGGAGCGAGGAAGACGCACATACACACAAGAAAAAACACGGGCATTAAAATAACAGTGAAGATACCAGCTTGGTAGCACAAGTTCAGGGTTTACACTTTTTCAGCTGGGTTACTTGAAAGGCTATCTGCTCCCATTGCTACCTAGTGCCACGATACTGCCTCTGCGTGTCCTCAGGCACAGCTATGCTCATCTCTCACTGAACAAAGGGCAGCAGGAGCATTTCTGGGACTTAGAAAGAGCTGCTCTGCCTAAAGTAACAGAGAATTTTGGCAAACTATTTGGGAGCTTAACAAAGTGGATCCTCATTTTTAATGTCCTCAACACTGAAAATCTTTAAAGTGCTACGCATACTGCTGCTGTCAAAAACAAAGGGAGGCATTTCAGATGAACACATCTCCCATTTCCAAAGAGGCCAGTGTTATACCCTAGCCCCCTATGGAACAAGTCAGTAGTGGCTGAACTGCCACCAGTTTTACCAGTATCTGGGAGAGACTGCTCCATGCTCTTGAGGAGGTTCTGATGCAGAAGCCATGTGTCCCACTGTAGGGGAGACCTGGAGCTCAGCTGGGGATACCAGACTGCAGAGCCAATCCTAGGGAACTGGCACTGTGTCCAGTTCTGCTAAATGGTACTTGTCAGATGTCTCTAATGACTTCAAAGGGATAGTGGTATGCTGACAAAACAGCTGTATAAAGGGGACTCAGCAAAACTGCTGTTTAACTCCTGTGACAAGCAGTGGCCTGTTCACAACTTTTGAAGAGGGGCAGGAGTGAGGGGAAGCTCCTGTACAAAGACTAAGTGGGAAAAGTGGTATTTTCTAGGCTCAACTGGCATAGATATTGCACTTGCCCATTTACAGTCTCAAGTTTCTCATATTTTTTTGTTTCAAAATATTTGTTGCAGTGAGGCGAAGTGCATGTGTGCTTCAAGGGGCCAGCAAAGCTTCCCACTCATGCTTTCCAAATCACCCTCTATAAGGAGATGCAGTTTCTCCAGTTTTTATCTGAGAGCTCAAATAAATCCTATCTACAGCTAATAAACAAGATACCCAGTTTAAAAACCAACTGAAAAAGTCTAGGAGTTCTGTTAAAGTTACGTTTTGTTTAGAAGCCACATGAACAAAACAAAATGCATCTTAGTGAAGAGGAAGTTAAGAAGCAAAGCCAGAAATACAATGATTAAAATAGGGGAGAACTTCTGAGCTCCCATGAAACTTGTATCTTTCTCCCCTAGTTTAAGATGCCAATTGGCTACTGCTTTCCAAAATTGCCCATTCTGTGCAGAGTCAGGTCATAAATATATTGCAGATAAAGGACAGAGAACACCCATGATGTATCAAAAGCAAATTCATATAATGAAATCACCACACGGGCACATGCACTGTGAAACTTTACATTTTCAGATAGACTTAGGTGATACCAGATTCTTATGAAGAGAAGGTGCATTTATATGTATGACTATATGCATAAAGACATATACATGTGTGCTACATTGAACTGCTTGACATATTTATAAAATTGTAATCTTACAAAGACTCTAATCCAGAAGTCATTTATATTTCTAAATATAAATCATATTCAACTATAGCTTTAAATGTTTTTTATCAAAAAGATTCTGAGCCTTAACAGCTAAAAAGTTCCTTGGGAAAACCTGATGAAAAAGCTATGAGTTTCTCAATATGCACTTTTTAGAAGTGTGTATTTTTCTACAACACAGGTGGTATGACAGAAAAGCAACCATTCATGTTATTGGTTTTGACCCAACTCTTCACAGGACAATGCCTGAGGAGACTTCATGTCTGATTCTTTAATGTAGACAAATTTAATGCATGCTTTCCAAATTTCCATCTTCCAAATTCTCTGGAGGATCATTTGCTAGAGAGCAACCTTCTTTTTCATGCTTCAGGAGGAATTTAAAAGTAACACAGTAAGATTTAATGGCTTTACCTCAATTCTCATGGGAATCCCTACACACATCAGTAAATAGATAAGCAGCATTTCCCAAAGTAAGCCATGTTGCCCTAGCTCTACTACACATGAAGTCCCATGCTTCAGTGAGAATAGAGCTATGACAACAATGAGCATGTTAGAAAACCCCTACCCTATAGCTTTCAGACAGATGTACTGCAATCTTCCAGGTGATTATATGAGCTATAGGTATCACCTTCTAAAAACAAGTTTGTAAAGTTACTTATATGAAGGCTTAGCAGACAGAATTGCATGCTGGCTACCTGAGGCCGCTCAGGTGTTAACCAGTCTATTATTGCGTGAAGATGTTAGTAACTACATACAAAAAATTTGGCTGGTAACTTACCCGGATTCCTTTGTCCCCAGGTAGACCTTGTAAACCCTGAAATGCGTTAACACAAAAAAAAAATATTTACATTAACACAAAAAGAAGGATGTGTGACCAGGAGTTTGTTTTTTCCATTTGTACCAATTGCTCTATGGTAAAAAAAAAACAAACAACACTTTTCCAGCAGACAATCTCCTCTTCTCCCCCATTAGACCATCCAGCTTGTAATACCATTACTACTACTACTACTGTATGGGTTCTTCAGATAAAACCCAAGTAGTTTAGATAATGCAGTTCTATAAACTTTTTTTAAGTTTCTCTTGAAAGTTTTCACACGCAGCACTTTTAAAGCTGCATTAAGTGCTGTGTGTAAAAAGTTTCTCTTAAACTTTTTTCACTCCCTGAAAAAAACAGCAAACTTCCTTTTTTGTGTTAATCAATGAAGTAGCTCCAATTACACAAAACTAGAGCTCCGGCACTAGCCCCATTTTGCAAAAAGTAATTCCAGAGAGTGTAATTAATCTCATTGAAGGCAACTTTTGTCACTGCAATGACAAGACATTGCCCTCTGAGACAGGTAGAAGGCAGGCACCCAAGCTGTGCAAAGATAAACGGGGCAGATATGTTCAAAAGCAGCATACATATCCTGGAAGTCCCATGCAGCTTCTTTTGGTAGTTCAAGAACCAAAGTGAATTAACAGTTTCTTCTGTTCGGCTTGATCTGCCTCATTCTGAATCATTGCTCAGAAGCTACTGGGCAATTTCTGTTGCTCCCATAGGGTACCCAGGCTTGTAGCTTTAGTTCTTTAACAACTAACCTAGCTGAAATTGCAAATTCTGTATTGTATCTTAAGCTATCAACCACAGCAAGGAAATGGGCACTTTAGATAACAAATCCCTGGTACTCTATTACTCACGGGAAGCCCTGCTGGCCCCATTGGTCCTACAACTCCAGGATCTCCTTTACTACCCTGAAATGAAGACAAAAGAGTAGAAATTATTACATTCCTATTCAGTACAAACAGGCAGCATAGCAGTGGCTACAGCAGCAGAAGAAATGCATTTCAAAGCACCTAAACACCCCACAAGAATGAGATACTCAAAAATCGAGGAGGCCCAGATGATGGTCTAATACGCACAAGGAATGAGCATTTCCAGCTCTAGAAAAACCTAGAGGTTCTCTATCCCAGAGACATGTGGTATCTTCAAAGAAATTACAGAGCCTATGCTCTGTAACTATCATAGAATAGTTAGGGTTGGAAAGGACCTTAAGATCATCTAGTTCCAACCCCCCTGCCATGGGCAGGGACACCTCACACTAAACCATGTCACCCAAGGCTTCGTCCAGCCTGGCCTTGAACACTGACAGGGGTGGAGCATTCACAAGCTCCCTAGGCAACCCATTCCAGTGCCTCACCACCCTTACAGGAAAGAATTTCCTCCTTATATCCAATCTAAACTTCCCCTGTTTAAGTTTTAACTCGTTACCCCTTGTCCTATCGCTACAGTCTCTAATGAAGAGTCCCTCCCCAGCATCCCTATAGGCCCCCTTCAGATACTGGAAGGCTGCTATGAGGTCTCCACACAGCCTTCTCTTCTCCAAGCTGACCAGCCCCAACTTTCCCAGCCTATCTTCATATGGGAGGTGCTCCAGTCCCCTGATCGTCCTCATGGCCCTCCTCTGGACCTGTTCCAACAGTTCCATGTCCTTTTTATGTTGAGGACACATTTCTGATGCAAACTCACCCTTTCTCCTTTTGGTCCTGCTGGTCCTGAAACCCCAATTGGTCCTGGAGTACCCTGTAGTTGTAGGAAGGAAAACATATAAGGACATTTTTATTTCAGGGCCTCATTAAAGCCAGGAGACACTGCTGCTCTTTTAGGAAAAAGCACATCTGGGAAGCAGTCTGGTGACAGAAGACATCTAGCACCACTACAGCTTTCAGTATTGGTGGTGATGGGTTTGAAGCAGTTGTAACAGCCAATTTGAAGAACATGAGAACTGCTATGTTAAGATCACACCAGCACCATTTTACAGAGCTTTATTTTTAATTTTGAAGCTATCTCTTGACAACTGTTACAGCAGGCATTTCTACCAGTTCTACAGGAGGGATTTTTTTCTCTCTAGTTTGTATCAGACAAGGTTGAAAGCTGTAGCAGAATAAAGAGCATTTAGACACATAATAAGCAATTTTCTTTTTCTTTATTTCCTTACCTTCTTTCCCCCCCTAGAGACAGTTGAGTTGAACAAAAGCGAAAGAATTTAGTTACTTGGTGGCAGGCAGCCAGTCAGTTATGCAAGTTGAAAGACACCATGCTGCAGAGCTGAATGCAGGTGCATATATATGCAGATGCATTGTATGAGGAGTATCATTCAGTCCCAGTCCCTCTGTTCCCTTTTTGCCGTTTATGTCGCTCCACCAGGCTCTCAATTGTGCTAATGGGAAAAGCTAGTCTTTTTGCTAACCCTTTGACACAGGGGCCACCTCCCACAAGCATACCAAACTTACTTCCTAGTGCTGCTGAGAATTGCTTTGGCTTTGGGAAATCAGCCCAGTCAAAGCTTATCTTTAATATGGGTGATATAGCAGTTAGGCTATAGTCCTGGATAAGAAAAAGATTCAGGCACTTTCAACTCTCTATAGACTCCTTAAACTTGTTGTGAAATACTCCCCATTGGAGGGTCTCTTACAACTCTCCCAGACTACATTCTGCAATCTAGATAAAGTATAGCTTTTAAACTTGCAGTGTGCAGTGCACCCACCTAGCTACATAGTATAGGTGTTTGCCTTCCTTACCCTACATCACATATTTTTAAACTGGCAAGAACTTTGTTAAACATTTCAGTATTGGTCTACAATTCCTTCAGAGACCCTTGGTAACGGGATATTTCTGGGGCCAATTACCTGCCATCTAGGAAGAGCAAAGGAGGAAGCTTCTGGAACAGGGAAGTCTTACAGCTTTAAAAGAGAAAGGTCTTGCATGTTTTAATGTAAGCTTGGAATCCTTAGTCACCAAAGTAACCCCTCCAATGAGAGCAAGATGACTCATGGATCAGGAGAGCTTTTCAGAAAAGTTAAGATCTGCAGAATAGAAGTAGCTCATGCAACCACACAACTTCAACATAGTGAAGGAAGAGAAAAAAATCAGACCCTCCTTAGGTTCATGCACATCATTGAAATCTTAATTGCCTGCACATACCCATCATTTTAAGATCATTTAGTGCCATGAAATACATCAAGATCTCGCCTGCAAAAAAATTTGCAATTTCCCAAAACAAGTTGGTGTATAAACTGCCATTCAGATTCAGAAGTTAGAGCAGCTGAATTGTTTCCAGTTACGCTGAGGAGGAGAAATTGCTTTTTCTTTTTAAATAGCAAAATGGATTGTACATAGGTGATGCGTGACTTCCCAAGAGGGATTAAAAATATTTGGCTCCTTTTAACAGGTGTTATCCAAGAATATCAGAATGGTTTGCAGAACCAGGTTGGCATTACTTGTCTCAGAATGAGTTTGACAGACTGAGAAGCTTAGGCACAAGGAGTTTATTTCCTTCACATCTCACAGTCAGTTAGTAACAAGAGGTGGGAATCCTGCATCTTCCTGCTCCACTGTTAGGTGTCACTACCCCTCAGATGTCTGTACTAGATCAGAACACACTCCACCATGCACTCCCAGGTATGCGGGACTAAAGAAAGTATGGGCAGAGTCGCTGAAGTTGCACGGCATTCTGCTGCCAAGAGGTGAAGGGCTAGTCCTGCTTGCAGAAGGTCTTTTGGATGCAAATTCTCCTCGTGGCAAGATGCTTACCAGGTTATGGATAGATACCTGTAAGCATACATGCAACTCAGGGCAATGCAGCCTGAAGTGCTATGTGTGAAAACAACGCACAAAGCTTTTTGCTGACAGGACAAAAACACAACAGTATTATTATACCTTAGACAAAACTGAAGAGCTACTGCATGAAAAGGTGGCAAGCAAGATTACTGTGGAGAAAGACAGAACGGAAACCCCCAACAATAAAGAGGACAGGAGAACAGAGCATCATGGAACCATGCAGATGTTTCATTCATCTTGTTATTGAGATAAAGTGGAACAAGTAGACTGATCCCAGAATCAAGGCAGACTCATAGCATCAAAAAAGACAAGTATATGACATCAGTTCTCAGTCTAAGTTTAGCCCCACCTCCCAAGCCTGCTTTGGAGAAAAGAAGGTTATTCCTGGTGTAAACAAGACTCTGGTGGAAGAGACGAGACAAATCATGATACTGGGGAGGAGGAACATAGGGTAATGGAGAAATGGAACTCACCGGTGGTCCAGGCCTGCCGTCTAAACCTGAAGCACCCTGAACAGATGGGGGAGGGTTAACAAAAACAAGGCAGGAGGAGAGGGGAGGAGGGTGAAGGGGAAATGAGAGGGGAGAGGTGAGTGAAGCAGTGACTTGAGACAAACATATGCTTGCAATAAACAAAAATTAAGATCTCAAGGACAGGTGATGGTACTTAACAAGCAAACCAACAAAAACATAAAAACACTGAATACATATAATGTTGACCTGGAGCTTGCAACCTGTAACCTACTACCTTCAGATCCCCTTAAGAATGTATTTCTAAGAGGACACTTCTGAGCCAGTCTTGGCCCCTCCACAGCTCAGGAAAAGTTATGTAAAAAGCCAAGGGACCCTGGTTTCTCATGGGGCTCACTGCTGTAAGAGAACCAGGTAGTACATTCCCTGCCACACTGATAAACTTGTCAGGATAATTTCTGGGGCATCTTCTGTTCAGCATGTCAAAAGGAGCTCCTTCCTATATCCTGATACCACACAGGCTTGAGGGAATAACTGTTTACACAGAAAGTCTCCATTTGCATTTCTCAGGGAAAAATGGGAAATATGTTTTTACTTCTCACTCTTTCACAGAGGCACAATCCTTTGCATTCGAGCCTTCCAAAAGCACCCCTTTCTCCCCACTGGCTCTGCATGGAGCCACACTGAATACACTTGTGATAACCTCAGCTGAGTGCCTAGAGGTAGATGAGATGCATCCAGGCCCTAGAAGGTAACTGCTAAATAGCACAACTGAAAGAGGAAAACATTTTACAAACAAAGATATGCACAATTCAGCCAATGTCAGGGAAAAGGGATCTGGGTGATTGAACACAGGCTGACAAAGTCGCACAGTACACAAGATGCGCTTTGTGGTGCTTATTTCCAGGCAGCACATTCAGGAAAGGGAGATGGTGTGCTCTGCCAGCAGTGTTTTTTACGAGGAGAGAACTTGGGTGCTGGCAGAGCAACTGGGTGGGACTGAGTTACCACTAATTCATTATCAGCTGTTGGCTCAGACAGTGGGTGAAGAGGTTTTTAGCAGATGTGAGCTAAGAGCTTCAGAAAGTCTTCCAGTTTGTATCTAAAGCTGCTGTTCCTTGCTAAGCTAATCAGCGCACCAACACTAGTCTCATGTGACTGAGTTCACATAGAACAGGGAACACAGCTTCCTTCTACTCTGTTGAAGAAAACATCAATTTAATTGCAGAAGTAATGGGAAAGTACTGGCTAGTGAAGAAGCTGGATGCATTCAGAGCCTCCAAGCTTCTGTACAAAGCTAAGCCCAGGTGGCAAATGGCAGGGAAGGTGTTTAATTTTCCATGTCTTTTTGACTTCTCTTTCTGGTCTTGCCCCATTGGCTTGAAGTGCAAAGAACCCACAGCAAATCTACTGCTTGTTTTTCCAGTTCCTGCCAGAAGCAGGAAGAATTAAAGTGATCACTGATCTATTTAACAGATTAAAAGATGAAGGTTCTGTGAAGAAATGGAGGCTTTAAATTTAAAAAGCAAAGGCACAGTTATTTATAGCTCAACTTTTTCTTTGACTTTACATATCAAATCGCTGTGTGCATCTCCTATTGAGGGATCTTTTTTCAGCTGATATGAGTTTGGCTTATAAGGTACTGCTTGCTTCCTGGATACTTACGGGTAATCCCAGTGGCCCTCTGTCTCCTTTTTCACCCTGGGCACCCTTCTCTCCTTTCATTCCATCAATCCCTGCTTCCCCCTAAAGGAAGGATGGAGCAGAAAATAAACCCACCGTAACACCACTTATATAACAAACATTCTTCCCTTCAGGGAGTGCTGAAGCAACAGACAGAATACAAGAGGCAGCAGGGCAATGCTTTAGCCTGATTCTCTGCCCAATCCGAAGAAAGCCAGTATCAGTCAAATGACCTCTGTGTAAGCATGTGTTTTAGGTCCATGTCAGTAGAAGGAGATTCAAGCCCAGTGGGTAAAGATGCTCAAAAGGCAACTGAGCCCACTTCTGTGTTGCTCTCTCTGCTGCTGCAGGGAGTGTCAGATAAAAATAAGTAACCAGAAGTTATCTGATAGGGTGGGTTTACATTTTAAGATGTGGGTTCATTGGAAATGAATGACAGGGGTCTATAAACTTTGAAGAAAAATCATACTGAAATAATTTTTGGAAAGACTTTTGTAAATGCAAAGACATCAGTTTCAACATTTGGGGAAAAATAATTTCATCATTCCTTTTCCAACTCTGTTTGTAAAATTCTGTATAATAAATTACAAAGCAGGTTTTGTTTTATATATTACCATCTATATAATACATAAAGTATTAAACAAAATACTCCTTTTTTCATAAATTCAAAATGCAACCCAAAGCTTTTTCCCCCCATTCCTGTTCATAAAACATTTTAAAACATTCTCTTGGTTGTCTTTTGAAACAGCAGTGTTAGAAGAACCAAGTTTGCACAGAAACAGTAAGCCTGCTTGTTGTACTCTTCTACAGTTCTAAGATACCACATTGCTGGCTCACTCTACCAGGACTCCATGTTTCCATTCAGCCATGCGTCACTGCCCTGGAGCATTGTTTGGCTTGATCACATACCTGGAAGAGTTGCTTGTTTCTGACATGTCTGCAAAGGGTATAAAATGCTCCTCCTCCCCACTACTGAAAGACTCACTACAAAAAGACTTATTACAGATCACAGAGATGAGACAAAAACTTCCACACACAGGACTCTCCTTGCACCTGTTAATCAAGCCTACATGGATCCTCTGTTCAAGGAGAAACTGGTGCAGTACTTCCTCTGCCTATAATCCAGCTCGTGCTGTGCCAGACTTTCACCTGTATTTCTTTGGCCCATACCCCAAAGACGACTGCATCCTACGGAAGCTTCCCAGACACTTGATAGCAGTAGCTAGTGAGTTACAGATAAGCAGGACAGATAACTCTATCTGTAACCAACACTTGGAGAAAAGATGCATCAGGCTAAATATACCACCCCTTAGCACCCAGATAGCACTGGTAGCCAAATACTAAGCATAACAAGAGGAACTAAGACACTTTCCACATTTTCTAATCTTTTTCAAGAGTGTCAGGGGAAAACCGTAGCTCTCCTTGAGCATTTCCACCCAAATATTTTTTCATCTAGGTATCATTTTACAGCAGGCAAACCAATGGTGCAGGCTCAGCGTGAACATACCTAGATGGAGATGAAAAAGCTTCTCATCAATGAGAACAGTGGAGTTCTTGGGTGGTTTAACAGCAGAATTTACAGGGTGTAGAACTTGGCTAATTTTAAGTTAGAGCTCAGTTACTTAGGATTATATGACAGGCTGTTCATCCCGCTGTACAGTCCTTCACTCTTCAGCAACAATTTCAACTATGTTCTCATGGGAAGATTTCCAAGGGCCAGTGACTTCCCAGTTCTCTGGGTGAAAACTACAAATGACCAGTTTTCTGGGTCCTAAAGTGAGAGCTGCTAATCCATTTCCTTCAAGAAAGTATCCAAAAGGACTTGTCCTCTTACCAAGGTGAAAGAAAAGTAACATTTGAAAGCTGGGAAGTGATTACTGAAGGGAATTCTTGCAGCTGGGACAATTCTAGTAAAATTTCAGAATATAATGTTTTGCAGCCTTACCTTCGGTCCTGGGAGACCCTGAAGACCCTGTATTTGGGATGAGAGACAAGATATGAGTAATGTCCAATAAAATCCAGGTATCACAGTTCAGTCTGCAACATAGAGCTTTTGCTTTCTGTCACAGTGAGGGCACAAATGGTTAGCCTGAAGGCCTCTTGATTTGTGTAAAGGGCACTTCATGTACTGTTCTCTGGTAATGAGGAAGCTCTCGCCAAGAACAACTTGACATTGGGCCAGGCTTGCTCTTAAAACCATTTCTATAGTTGATCCCTTTAATCCCATCCATCCCGTCTTGCTACTGTCTTCCCTTTCATCTCAGATTAACATAACCTTCTCTCTTAACCTACCCAGCTCATCATAACTCTGACCTACCCCGGGGGGGTGGTTTTGGAAGTGATACTAAGCACGTTCCTGTTTCAAGGCTGCAGTGCTCCTGGCTGTTTTCTCCACTCAGAATCCTCCCCAGAGAGTTCCTGCTTTATCCTCATTCCCCCAGTGCCTTGCACCTCAGGTGAATCACTCAGAACTTACAGGAGGTCCTGGCGGGCCTTGGGGTCCAGGGGGTCCAGATATCTAGAAAGCAATGCAAGAGAAGTCACTGTCATAATCTGCTGCCCTCAGAGGTGAAAGGGAACTGCTCAAAGGGGTAGCTGGGCACAGGGTGGCCTGTGAAGCAGAGCTCTACCAGGCTTGAAAACCTGGACTCTCTCTAAGTACTGCATTAGGAAGTGGCAGCAACCCAGGACAGAATGGCTGAGAAGCAGCAGCAGGACGCTGGGGAGGGTTATGCAGCAGTTGCAGATATTTAGGAGGAGGGAAAGCAGTGATTTTTTTTCCAGATAAAGGTCCACTTCCACTACTCTACCAGTGTTCCTGCAAGGAAGCACAAGGTCAACAGCTAGCAGCTGTTTCAAAACAGAGGAAAGAAGGTGGCTGGTTCCACACATGTGGAAGAGTGTATTGATATCCTGTGGGATTCCTTGCTGCAGGATGCTCCAAAAGCTAGGGGTGAGCTTTGAGAGGAGGACAGACAAGTTCAAGAGCCCAAAATACATATATATGCAGACACACGTAAGTGTTGTTCAGGAAATCCCTTAACTGCAAATGCTGAGGAAAGTGTTTGCTATGCTTTCCATGATCCTCTGTTCTTCCCTAGGCATTCATTATTGATTGCTTGTCATGAGCAAGACTGTTCTTGTGTAAGGGAAAATTAGGGCATCAGGAGCTAGTTGTAGCTGGCAATTCAGACCCACAAGATGAAGCTTGCCGTCCTCAGCGAAGGGTGTACCATAAGAGGGTGGGATGTGCTGGTTTTCAGTAGCACTGCTGCCAAATCAGCGCTCCCCTACTGCTGAGATTGCAGAAGGAAAAATGAGAAAGATGACCTACCGATTCTCCTGGATTTCCTTTGTCTCCACGCTGCCCAGGCTCACCCTTCTCTCCCTGCACACAACAACAGATCCTGTCACCACCAGCTGCCCTCTGGAGTCTCACTCCATCGGAAGCCATCTGTGAACCACCCATGTGCTAGCAAAGGAGGAGTAGGAACATACCACGCATTTCATAAACAGCCTCCCTGCAACTCTCCTGCACCTCTGCTTCCAGAGCAGACACCCTACAAAAAGGGAGGGCTCTAGGAATGGTACCTTGTGGCTGTGCAAGGAGAGTGCTACAGGACTTTGCTTGCCTTTCAGCAACAGTGCCTTGACGCTTCTCTGCTGGACTACCACCTCCAAGGAAGGGACGGCATGGCAAGCAGGTCAGCAACAGTGTCATGCTGCCAGCAAACTAGGTGTCTCAGCTGACTTAGCCACAGAGGCTCTGGTAGCTGTCAGAGCCAACACCTCTAAACAGCAATGGGGGCAGATGCCCACCTAGCCCTCTGCCTGCTGCTGGAGACTGCAGACATTCAATGACACCTAAGCACCTAACCAAGGGGTAGTAGTCTGAGGCTCCTGAGATACTCAGCACTTTGGGAAATGAACCCTTCTGTATTGCTCTATGTTGTTTTCTGCTTGTCAAGCAGGAAAGAGTAGCCTGTCTTTTTCGCTCTTACTGTCAATCCTGGAAGTCCAGTGGGACCTGGCAATCCTGATGGTCCTGGCATCCCTTGATAACCCCGCTCGCCTTTCTCCCCAGTGGAGCCATCAAGACCCTACAGATCAAGAAAGATATGTGGATTTTTTGCAAGACTAAGTCAGAGAGACATAAGAGACATCACTTCAAGAGCCCAGGCTGGCTCTGGTCATCCCAAGAACATGCCAAAACCCCAGGGAAGTGCAGGACTTCACTAGTATTGAAATTGGATGTCCAAATGATTGAACACCCTCCTGTCATTGTGGAAGTGCCAGTTCCCACTGTGGGGATGAGGTACTGCTTTCCTGCCTCCATGTTCTGCTCACAGTTATGCAGTTTGCTGGAGTCCATGCTTGAAGTGAGTCTCCAATAGCCAGCTGTTGTGACAGCAAGAGTTTTACCTTAGTTATCTTTTAGAGAGGCAGAAACTCGTTGCATAAAACCCTCATGACTAGTGTTGAAGACACAGAAACTGGGACAGACTGAAGCTGTAAGACTGGGCACTCTCCCCCAGTTAGTGGCAGGGAGGTAAGGAGTTAATCCATGCAGTTGCCTTTCTAGGAGGCTGTGTGTACTGGCACCTCAGCTGTCTTGCTGACAGTCAGGCCTTCTTGCTTATAGTCACATTTCAGTTTAGGTAATACACCAGGCGGCAAGCTAGGGAAGTGACAACAGTGCCCAAAGAGCAGGGTAGGCAGCTGGGGACAGCCACTCCAGTAAGATGCACAACACATCTGCCAGGGAGCTATGACCTCCCTTCTGTATTGGCACACTTCATACAGTAACAATAAGGTGCCTCTAGCACCCACCTCAGAGGGGCTCTGAGGTATCTGAGAAGTTCCAGGGCCTGCCCCATAACCTTGGATAGCCAACAATACTTCAAGAAGCTTCAATTTACTCACTGGTGAGCCAGCTTGTCCTGGCTCTCCTTTGTCGCCCTTTTCTCCCATGACCCCAGTATGGCCTGGCTCTCCCTTTATTCCAGGGGGTCCATCCTTTCCTGGCAGTCCATGAGGGCCAGGGGGGCCCATTTCTCCAGGCTTGCCCCGTGGTCCCTAAAAGAAATCCACACAACACAAAGTGAAACATTTACAGATAAAGGTTACTCCTGCAGAGTGATTCCTCTTTCACTGCTCATCCTCTCACTCACAGTAATGTCCTTTGAGGAGCCATGGGCAGCACAAAGTAGACTTGCCATGCTATCACAGCCACTCCTTATAAGTTAGGACTTTGATAAATAAGTGCTCATTTTTGTCAATCAAACTAATTTGTTCCCCTGCCTGTGGGAAAAACAACTGTGCAATATCAGTGACAGAGACAGAACGTACTCACTCCAGGTAAGACCACTGAAGAAAAGCAGTCCACAGAGGCATCACGCCTTACCTTTTCTCCGTCATGGCCTGGGGGACCTGGCAAGCCGATTTCACCCTGAAACACAGAATAGTTACTTTTGCAGTTTGAAAGCAGCTATTCTTACTCCTTCTGCACAGCACTATGATGATGAAGGGTGGCCATTACAGAAATGATCTGCAGGAACTCTGGTAACTAATATTCATAGGGAGAAAAAACAACACAGAAACCCCTGTTGAAACAACACATTGTGTGACTGCCTACAAATTATACCAGCCTTGTTTTTCTTGACAGTTCACAGCACCAGTGCTATAACATAGTCCCCAGCCAACACAACCCCTGCACAGAGATCAGTTACCACAGTTTCTTCCTAAATGGAAGGGCAAGTAGAAACGATCTTTCATCTTCCACATCTTTCACATCATTACTATTATGAGAAAAAGAGATCTTCAGGATACTGTGCATGAGGGGGAGTGGAGAGGCCAGCAGGACAGTCTGATAGTGCTGGACAGGGGAAACAGGAATACTGGGGGGGGCTGGGATGGGGGATTGTGCCTGGACCAGTCCCGTGTTTCCCTTAGCTCTAAGAGTACTGAACTGAGCAAATACCTTCTGTCCTGGAGGCCCTGGAGGCCCAGCCACACCTGGAAGTCCTGGGGGTCCCTAGATAAAGAAAAACTCATTTTCAGATTATCAGCAGGGCTTTCATTTTCATGTTTTGAAACCAAACAGCTCTTCTGAGTTTAAGGGGAAACTTCAGGGGAATTTTCCAAGGGACTCCTAAAACAGTATTTGCTTGGGAAGCCAAGCAATGGAGAGTCCTGAGTGAGCAGCAGGCCAGTCCAAAGTGAGTTGTTGATATGTATGTATTTCTTTACATGTCCATTGAAAAAAATGAAAACGACCACAGCTGTCTGCTCCTGAAACCAAGATGAACTGAACAAGGTTTTTCCCTTCCTATCTATAAAGGTATATTTTTTAAAAAAATATCATAGGAAACACTACTACTTAGATGTCAAGCACAGTTTAAGCAGAGCTAGATGGCCTAGTATTTTGAACAGATTTCCTGATCCTTCTTGGCAGTTACCACTTTCAGGAGACCTAGGGAACAGTTTGGCCTAGAAAGTGATGCTACTTACATCTGTATTACCTTGTCATACTGCCTTTTAGAAATACATCTTTTTTTCCTAACCAGCTTTCTTGTCCTGAGAAGCAAAACACAGGGACACTTTTTATCTTATTTCGGCCCAAATAACTACTTTGTCTCTCTTTGTCTTCAAACGGCTTGTAGTCACTGCTGTTTTAAATTATCACTTTTGTACAGGACTGTTACGTCAAATTATTCTTATCAACTGAAAACATGTCCTCCCATCCCACCACAGAAAATGTCCACTACAGATTGCTCATATAAGCTTTCTTTCAAGGTACCCAAAGCCTCTTTTTAATCTGTTTAAGTCAGCCCCACTTTGCTTTTCCCTTCTCCTTCTGGGCACTCCCTGTTCTGAGCACCATGTATTGCCTCATAAAGCAGACAAATTAAGGGCCTGATTAGAACTCAAGTGCCAAGACCAGAAGGCAAGATGAGCTCTTCCTTCAGCTGTCACCTGCCCCAACTTTAGCTCCCAAAAGCAAGAGCCAAATGTTTTAGCTGCACCTAAATTGTCAGGCCATCTGCTTAGGATGGACATATGGCTACTTGTTTAAAACCACACAGCAAAGCTCAGAACTCACCATCAAGGCCAAAGTTCGTATTTCCTAAGGGAAGAAAAAGAAAATCAGAATGGAAAACAGCCATTGGAAAGCTAAGCTTTTTCACAGATGCAGTTTGTTCTCCACTAACGTAACCCTGGCCCAAATGAGCAAGGAGCCTACAGAGTGAACAAAAGCAAAACCACAAGCTCTGAGCCCCATGGAGCTGCTATACTATGAGTTCACCTTTTTCCAAGTAGAAGTCAGGCTAATCCAGAACTGGGCACAGGCTCGCTCGCCACACATCATCAGTGCACATTTCTGAGGAAGCTTTGCAGTCCTTTTATTCACCATCTACCTCATGTCATGGGCCCACTCTTGAGGGGATTCACATGACCTCTGCATCCACCAGTGTTAATGTATCAGCCAAGTAAGGTGAACAAGTATTTACCAGAACACTATATGCAGTGAGCTGTGGGATAAAGAGGACTATGGAACAGCCAAGTACTTCCCTTTGCTGCTACTGCCAAGGAAGCAAATCCACATTGTTCCTAGTTGTCTGCATCCCCTGGGAAACAGTAAAGCACCCAGCAGACACCTAATGGCACAGAAGGGCAGTTGCTCACCTGGAGAGCTTCACTGATGTTACCATCATAGTCCATCATTTCATCCTTCCCAGGCTCTCCTTTGGGGCCCTGCAAAATACCAGCTCTTTAGTCAAGGCCTGGGGATTGCCCTTCCCATGGGGTACTCAGAGCTGGTTCACTCTGAAAAAGGGGTTCTTACAAAGGCCTGTTTCATGAGCCTTCAGTTTTTAATTCATTAAACAAAGCTCTTAAAATCACATTTCATAGGGGAAATACTACGGAAGTGTGGCTACATAAGCCTAGATCACCACCATGCCATGATCACCAAATCTGGTAGAGGCCAGAATCCAGGAACTGGATTGTCAGACGTGGGCATGCACCAAACACCCTCCTGCTGCCCTTTCCTGGTATGCCAAGGGCCTGAGTTCATACTGGGATGTCCAAATCCATACCCTTCTACAAATCAGCAGAGCAGTCACCTTGAAGTGGCTCAGAAGACTTTTATCTGCTAAGGTGGGGGTGTCTTCTGATGAGGGCATGTAGTGGAGAAATGTCCTGTCTCAAACTTAGACAATGCCCAGCTACAAGAACATTTAGTGACACTGGGAACACCTGTGAAGGAGGCAGAAGCTCAGTCTAGACTGTCAGTGTGGCTTCACTGTCCTTAGACCCCTTTGAAGGGCCAAAACTCTTGAAGAGTATTCTTGCAGGGACACCTACCCTTGGGCCCATGGGTCCCTGATCTCCCGGTGAACCAGGTTCCCCCTGTAACAAGAAAAACATGCTGTTAGCAAAGCCTATCCCTTCACTTGCTTGAACTCCAGGAATGGTTGTTCTCTGCCAGTTCTCTGAAGCACTCTGGGACTAGACAGATAAATTTTTAAATGTCCCTTTTCAGCTAAGTTTTGTACACATAGGAACAAATTTGTAGATCCTGAACCTGGAGCTGTTTTGTGCAGAAGCACTCTGTACCTTTTGCCCCTGTGACCCTGCAGTACCGGGCCGGCCAATGTCACCAGCTTCTCCCTGAGAGAAAGAGAAAAGGAAAGGGATGGAATTGTATTGTGTAGACAGGGTGTGATTCCACTGCTGGCTTTGCATTTCCAGGAGGAAGAACTGCCTCAGCTAAGTCTCCCTGCTGTGTGTCCCTTTCTCCTCGGTAATCCAAATCTCCTGCCATGACTTCACACTAGGTGCCATTCTCTTCTACCCAGTACAGAAGGAGTATCCAGCGTAAAGGAAAGCACCCAATTCAGAACCACATAAGTGGACAGGAGAGCTGTTCCAAGTACATCTGAGACTGGAAGTTCTGGGCATCCTTTGCCAAGGAGCAGGATTTAACTGCTGCTGCTCCTTGAGGAGATAGAAGAGGAAGGGGAGAGGAGACTTGGAGGGCCTCTGTCCTGCCTCCCTGTGTCCATCCTGCCTCAAGTGACACAGGGACTAGAGCCTGTCATTGATTCTGAGCAACTGGTTTCTCACAGAGCCTAGAGGGGAGTTATTTGAGTACAAGGAGAGTATTTTCCGCACAGAAAGAGAGTTCACAAATTCTCTCACCTTCAGCATTTAGAACAACAGAACCAAAACACTGCAGAACCTGATATCCCTTCAGAAGGTAATCAGAGGTAATCACAGATTAATGCAACCTTTGCCCCTTCCTATACGCCTTGTGTTCAGCACAGTCCCTCACAACACACAACTCACTGGAAGAAAAAAAAAACCACTCACCTTTGGTCCAGGAGGCCCAGGCAGACCTGGAGGGCCAGGTTCTCCTTTACCTCCCACCAAGGCATTCTCAGCATTTCCTTTCTCTCCCTGTTTCCAAGGAAGACCAAGCCATGTGTCACTTCTGCCTCTCCATCTCCATAATTTCACTTGCCAAACTGTTGGCTTACACAGACAGGGCCCAAGACAAGGTCCATCAGACCAGAAACATCACTTGCCCCAGAGCCACCAGCTCTCCAGGAACCAGGGCAATACTGTTCTGCCTGGGGCCTCCACCTAAGAGCCCTGCCAGCAGCCACAGCTATCATCATCCCTTTGGCTGCAGTGCTGTTTATTGGTCCTTATTCCCTAGGGCCATATAAAGCTGCCTATGGATAGACCTCATCCCCGAGCCTCCAGTCTGAACACAACTTTTTTCTTCTCCTGTTGAAATTGAGCTGATAAAACCACCTGATAATGGGGTTTTTGGCACATCTCCCTCTGAAGTCCCTCAACCCCCATCCCTCCTGAAATAAATAATCAGAGAAGATACAAACCTTGGTGCCAGGGAGTCCCGGCAGCCCAGGGTCACCGGCTCGTCCTTTCTCACCCTGTTGGCAAAACAGACGTTGTTGGGTCTGACTGCAAGGCTCTCCATCCTGGAGGAGCAGCCAAAGGCTGAGCTGCTTCTGCTTTCAAACCCTCTTTCTCTTCCCCAGGGGATTTTATTTTAGGCATAGATAAGGCATCCTGCAGCAATACCTGCTTAGCATGGGGAATGTTTTCTCCTGCCTTTTTGACTATCTCTGCACATCATTGCCATTTTTCTCCAAAGGAAAGTGAGTGGAAAAGGGGTCCAGGATCCCTCACTGTGCATCTTCCTTATCACTCTGGTTTGCTAAATCCTTTTCCCTGTCAGTCCTTCAGCACAGGCTCTCCCCATTCCATATAACCAGACATATTGTTGCCCAGGGTGAATTCTAGTTGGAGGGTAGGACTTTTTCCATGCCCTGAGTTCAGCTCTTTAAACAGGAACTGTTCACTGCTTGAGACCATCCGTTTTCACCCCTCCTTATACCCCTGTGAATTACACTGCTTTGGTTTGGCTAAGATCTCACAATCAACATTTCCACACCTCTTCCAAGGGGCATTTCCCGCTCCTGTTCCCTAACTCCAAATCCCAGTCTCATCATACTCTTAAGAAAAAGCAGCCAAACTCAGTGACACATACCAGTTGTGAAAAGCAGTGAAAACTGGAGTGGCAAAAATGGCAAAGACAGGAGATGACAGTGTAAAACAATGCCTGGAGAGCAAGGCCTGCAGGCTGAGCTGCATGAGGCACTATGGAGTATGGAGGATGCCATTGGGCAGGAGCAATGGAGGCCATCTAGCATTCACTTGGTGAAGTGACTTTGCATAGTTTGCCATAACATCTGGGTCATCTTTTGAACATTTGAGCTTAATTGGGCTGAAGTTAAATTCTATCCATCCCATTACATCAAGCTGCTAAACCCATGGTTTTCAGCTACAGTGTCCTGTTTGGGAGCCTGCATTTTGCCAGGACAGAGTGCTATCAGAGGTTTCTGCTACCATGAACAGCAAATGGATAATTGGAAACAGGTGTGCTCTTACCTGCAATCCTCACACCTCTAAGACTTAAAAACTTGTACAGATTACATAGAACAATTCAAACCTCTTTCCCTCAGAAGGTGCCTAGCTGTCTCTACAACAGCAGCACAATGGATCAGCAGGTTAGCAAAGAGTTCCTCCCATTGTCTGCAGAGGCTGGTGCTGCACACCAGTCTCATCAGAACTCAAGGGCACACATCTGACATGCAGGGGACTTGCATCAATGATCCACAAATAGATACGCACTGGTGGCTGCATGGAAAATAATTAACTAGCAGCAATCTTATTTTTTCAGGCAATTCTAGAGTGCAGTGACCCATTTCTTTAAGGTAATTTGGCCTCCAGCCACCTGTAAGACCCCTACTCAGCTTTCCTCCCCTACCACAGCATGCACACTGCTACCATAAATTAATGCTTTTCTCCTTGGAAAGAAGGAAACCATTTGCAGGACCTCATACCCAAAGAAAAGGGTTTGCCTTTGGTGTTTTTGTAAGGATATAGTCTCTAATCCTGTCTTGGGCCTCTGTGGGTCCTTGATCCTGCCTTACTCTGCTTTTGATATCCTACTTTTCATTCAAGGACTAGTTTTCCATACACATGTCCATACTGGTTACTGAAAATAGTGTAAAGAAGCTGATTTCTTGAAGAGGGAGGCCAGATTACTGAATCCCTGTTTAGGCTGTTATTTCTGGAGTTAAAAGATGCAGCACTGTCCTTAATCATTCCCAGAGCAAGACTACATCCCAGGCATCTCATGCTGCCCTGCCTGCCACCAGCACCCCTACCTCCTGCAAGCAGGAACACGCAAACACACTTCACCAAGGGGGCAAGATCCATAAAAGGACACATAATCCCCTTCAAGCACAACAATGCCACACAAAGCAGGCTCCCGCCAGCTCCTGCTCACAGGGAACACAGCACAGCACTGCCAGGACATCAAGCCCAAACACACAATGTCCTACCCGCTGCCCCTTCTTCCCTGGCAAACCTGGGGGGCCCATCCTCCCTGGGACTCCAGGATCTCCCTTTGTGGGGAAGAAAAGAGACAGAAAATGTGTCTGTTATATGGCTGTCGCATGCTGTAACATAACCCAGTGAGCCTCAAACAAGAGGTACCAGCTGTTCAGAAGCCAAGCTGGCTGCTTAGTGATGGAGAGTGATGGGGTATTTTTGTACCATGCCCACCACAGGAACTCAAACCAGGTCACGCTAAACTGAGACGGGGGGCTGTGCAGGGCAGTTCATATGGTATATTGACAGATAAACAGCCCCCCTGTTTGGGAAGACTCCTGGTGGACACAGAAGTACTGGGAGGCAGAAGGGGACAAAGGAAGGAGGAACATACTTACTAAGCAAAGTGTGCTGTGCATATTTTGTGGAGTAGCGAGGAAAGGAAGAAATCAGCTGGAGAGTATTCCCATAAAGACAGACAGGGGCAGGAGGAAGGTAATCTGTTTGCAGTATTGCCCCCCTCTCACTTGACATCACTGTATGCTACTGCCATTTTCCCTACACTGGCAGGTATCATTACGACCTGGATTTGGGCACTGGGAAGTACAGAGCCATTGCTCAGCTACCTCAGCTGCTCTGGGAGGGTAAAAAAAAAAACACAAACCAAGCAGAAGTGCAGGCTCAAAGCAAAACCTTCTCTGAGTACCTTTTCTCCTGGAGTCCCGGGCTCACCCTGGTGAGGAAGAAACAGGAAAATAAAGTGAAAAAAATGGAGGAGAGGGTAAAAATCCTGCTAGAACTATCAGAGTGGAGGAAAGAACATTCATCTATGGAGGCCTTGGGTTTTAAATAAAAGCATGAGGATACTCTAAATGCATACTAGTATTTATACCTGGAGCTTAGTTTATCTTCATTAGCCAGCTGTAAGAAACTGCTGTAAGAAACCAGCAAGGCTCAGACAAGTGGCTTTTATAAAACCAAGTAACCATCTTGCAGTATTTTCAGAGAAGGTTTACCAGGTACAAGAGAGCATAGTAAGACAAGACCCACCTCCAGCATTAAGGAATTTGCCTACTCGTAGCTCTGTGTGCACAGGAGCAGAGCAAAGCTGTGGTTGCAGCTGGGGTTAGGGGGAGACTGTGTTGATACGGGATCAATGTGGCATGAAGGAGGAAAACCCTCCCCACCAGCCCTGGAAATAACTTCTTTGTTTCTGTCTTTTTTTTCCCCAGCAGCTGGAAGAAATCTGGACACCAGGTCGTTGTCTTGTTGCACATCTTGGATCCCCAGACAACTCCTAGCCCCACGAGTCTGCACCTGGCCCTTTGCTCTGTTGCCATCCTGACACTGCTGCGGAGTACCTACCACGAGCTCACCAGTCTCTCTGCTTAGAGAGTTACGGGGTATCTGAGGTGCTGCGGGAGACCGGTCTAGGATCTCCGCCAAACACAACAGCAGTTCTGATACTCCCCTTTAGTGGGAGCTGTCCGATCATTTTCCTGTGCCTTACGATCCCCTAATTCCAACCCTTGCTTTTAAGCGTGCCCTACTTAAGCCATTGCAGAGGAGTGTAAAACTCACCTTCATCCCTGCGGTGGCCACCCCAGGAGCACCCTGGCAGAGAGAGAAAAGACAGGAACACCTTGTTTGAAATTAATCGGACACAAGCTTTTAAAAACAAAACAGTATCAGCCAAGTGGAAGTAAAAAGGAGAAACCCACATCTTTTCCTTTCCAAAACTCAGCAGTAACGCTGTAACACCACACAGCACGCATCCTCCTTCCCTGTGTAAGTCGTTCACCTATGATATTGGCTCTGCTTTCAAAAGTGCTCTTCCAAATGCAGACATCATGAGCATAACCCAGTTAAGACAACCAGATTTCCACCACCGCCACCACCACCACCCCCCCCCCCCCCATTTTAGTCCTGCAAGTGAAGCAAAGGCCAACTAGCAGAACAGTGTCAAATAATTGAAGAATGCAAAGACAGAGGCCCAGACAACTAGTTCAGCACTTGATCCCAGACACATCTGTTCAAGCACCCTGAGAAAGGCTAGTTTGTACCCCAGAGCATTGCTCTTGCTATTTCCCCTCATTCTGTTTTAAACAAACCCTGCAGTAAAATATTTTCAGCAAAGCTCTGAAGGGGAAAAAAAAAAGACTTCCAATCACTGCAATTGAGGTGTCATTCTGCAGTGCAGAGCAAGCCACCACCACGAAACCAGAGTCCAGCAATCTGAGAACCCTTAGGAGGCAGCTGCTCCCACAGGGACAGTCACATTTCCCTCGACAGCATTGATGCAAAAAACAGGTCTTCCCTATCAGCCCTTTGCTCTGAAATCTCTGTATGCCCTGTGTTAGTATTAGTTAGATCCTGGTGAAAGGTCCAGTTATAAAAGCAAATATGAGGGATAACAAAAGTCTAAGAAGAGGAGAGGAGGTGAAATAGTGTTAGAAGTTGGGAAATGAGAGCGCTTGGGATGTAGCACATGAGGCAGAGGGGAGGACTGGAAGCCAAGTTCATAGTGAAAAGAGCTTGGAAAAGTTCAAACAAGGAGGAGTGGGGAGCCAGAGAGCAGCAGGATCATACCTCTCAGCTTTCTGAAACAGAAATCAGGGACAAAGCTAAAAAACACAAGGACAGAAGATGGAAATCAGGGATTCTATGCAATAAACAGGGGGAAAAAAGCATTCCAGATTCTCTCAGGGGTCAGTAGGTTTTTAGTGAATACAGGCTAGTGTCATGAAAGGAATTACGTGCAGCATTTGGCTTAGGTTAAGCTTTCACAGTGCATTTGGGATGCCTGTTCCTCACTCTTTGGCCTTTAAATGGCAGTGAATGTGGATGATGTTATTCTCTAGTATTTATCTTGAAACTGCAGTGCACACACATGCAGGCTTGCCCACACACTGACCCTGATTCATTGCTGCATTAGTCCAGGTTCACACTTGTATAACCCTACCGATGGCAGTGAGCTAACACAAGCTGCTGAAGGCTGTAGCAGTTGCTTGGGACCCTCAATTTACAAAACACCAATCCCCTAGAAACATCAGCAATTGGCTGCTCTCACTAGCATAAAGCATTAAGAGCCTGATGTTGCAAGACATCATCAGACTGGGCATGCCATTTGCTTTGTAAAACAGTTCCCCCAACATCTCCTTTGTAAATTAGCCCCCCTATTTTGCAATTTTGAAGCAGAAAGATTTCAGCTGAGGATAGTAATTGACTAACAGACACACACACAAATCCAGATGATGCTTGTGCATCAGGGACAGTCAATTGGTATAGGTGAGAACAGGCAGACAAGCATCACTCCACTGTTTACAAGGTACCTTAGTGCCATGTCTTCCTGGCAGCCCTGGCATGCCTCTCTCCCCCTGGAAGCAGAGCAAGAAACACATAGAAAGAGAGAAAGAGAAAGGAGATGAGTCCCCCCATGGCTCTGTGAGGAGTGCCCAGGGCATAGGTGATGAGAAAGCCTCCTGGGTGAGATAAGGCACAGCCCGTTTCCCCACCTGACTCTCAGCAAGCTGACTGCTCTGGCCAACACCATTTCCTATCACTGGTACCTCTCAAACCTGTTGTATACAGCAGGACTGACCCTGCTGGAGTGCCACAGCAACAGTGCTGGGTACAAACTGCCTCTGTATCCTCCTACCACATACCATGCCATGGTATTCTACAGAGGATGGAGTCACTCAGTCTGCAGTGACTATAGGACAAACAAACTCATCTGGAGAAAGGGTTGCCTTGTATTGTTAGCCTGAATTTTATCTGGTGATAACTGAAAATTAAATATCTTCAGACAATCTGCATACTGCTGTTACTTTGCTCTTGGTGTTTAGTCCTTGCTTGGAAGGGCTGTTCAGCAGGAACATATGTACATGCTTTTTAAAAAGCACGTTTTTTTTTTGCAATTGTGTCACACTGCAAACTGCATTTTGTAAAATACTGTCTAACACCACAATATACACGACTTAGGCAGTGTGGGCACCTCCTACCCTATGCAGCATACTTAACTATGGTATGCTTATCTGTGAGAAAAATAAAACTATGATTATGAATGCTTTGTACCAGAGAAGTGGGAACCCTCCCTCCTTCCCAATTGTGTTCCCTGATTTGTTTTGGTGTTTTTTGGTTTTGTTTTTGTTTTTTTCTGTTGTTATTTTACTTTTCTCTCAAGTGAGACCAAGCAAGGAAAATCAGTGCTTTCTGCTGGGAGGCACCCCCACTGCTTGCAGAGGCTGGCCCCATAGAGCAGCCCCGCATGTGAAAGTAATTCCCCATCCCAGAAACTTGCCTGGAAGAAATTGCCTGCCTGAAGAGCTGTTTAATTATTTAGCCCTGCAAAAGCAAAGCCACCTCAGAGAGAGGTAGCCCCTTACAAGGAGCAAGTTACAGAGCAACCACCCTACTCTGCATTTTCTGATGATGGCTTCAGCTCGCTTGCACAGCCCCCACTGGCACGGCAGGATCACACAGAGCTAATTAGAGAGCAGGACCAACAAACATGACACTGTACCATTAAAGAGCAGAAAGAAAACCTCAGAGGCAAACCCAGAGATTAAGCAGGAAAAACAACTCTCCAGAACCATTTTAAACCCTTGCACATTTGAAAACTGTTGTAATAGAGTAAGTAGCTACTGGTCTGATCCTTCTGGGGTCCCCCATTGCCCTTTGGGCTGCACAGAGTGCCACAGACATGCAGCAGCAGCTCACCAAAACCAACACTGGAGTGGTGTAACCAAGCCAGAATCTGGGAAACACCACCAAAGGTAGATATGAAAGGCAAAACTCCCAGCACAGGTCCCCACTGGGCTCCAGGAAGGCATTCAGCAGCACTGCCCTGCCCTCCTGAGCTTTAGGCTGATTTAGGAAATACAACTCAGTCTATCCGCGAGAGTTAGGCTGAACCCTTCCCATCCAACACAGAAAGCCCTCATACTTTCTTCCTTTACACCTGATGTGTGCAGCTTTATATCCACTGGGTGCCAATCATAACAGAGCATGCCCCATGCTGATCAGTTCACTAGCAACGCTGGCTATGGGTTGCCAGTTATAACAGACCCTTTCGGTTTTGCTCCTTGCTGTAAAAGGCATATTATAATGGGGCATATTATAATGGGCAGTTTCTTTACTGTTCTTTTCTCAGAGCATGAGAAAAAGCCTCATCCTAAGGACCTCTAAAAAAAAAAAAAAAAAAAAATGGAAAGAAAAGAAAACATCAGCAAAGCTGAATGTGATGTCTGGGCTGGGTGGCAGCGAGTCAAACACTTCTTCCAATTACCCAAGTGATCACATACACTGGTTGTCTTATGGGACACAGACATAGATCTCAATACGACCAAAGTACAGAATAAAATAGCTAAGAGAGAAACTATGTTGTGTTGCATCTGACACTAGGTGGGGAGACGCTATTAAAGAACAAAGGGTCTGTGTGAAACTAGCAAGCTTCTTCAGGCTTGAAATGTTCTTCACTGCCAGCAAAAGCAGTGATACACTACGCAAAATTGGTCACTACAGCTAAATTACGAATCATAGTATTTGGGGCTCCTCAGAGAAGGCAGAATCTAGCCCAGGTAATTGGATCCAAAGGTGGAAGCATTAAGAGCCTTCCAGAATCCCAAGCAATCCTCCTAGGTGGCAGGATAACAGAAAGCAATTTCCAAAGACAACAAATCCATGCATTGTCAGATGCCCAGGAGCAGCTACTGGGTGATGTCTGGCTTCTGATTTAAGGGTACCTCTGCACTTCCCTTTCAATTCCTCTGAGTGGAGAAAGGAAGTCGAGAAAAGTGATACTGACAATAACAAATGAAAGTGTGTGAAAGAACAGGCTACTTTGGCACTGGGGAGGTGCCACTTTGGAGCTGATTCAGTATCACAAAAGGCATGGCAGGTTTCATCTCCACTATTTGTGAAGTAGGATAGTAAGGGCCCAAGCAGCGAGAGCATGTGCCCAGGGTCACCTTAAGTTGTTACTCTCTACATAGAACAGGGAAGGCTCTCACCTGTGGATGACCCTGAGACCTCACTGGAAGACTTGGGAAACTTCCCCTTTGCCCAAATGAAGTGTTGATTATCCCTTGTGTATGCTAGCAGTGGAAAAAGATAGTACAAGCAAGCAGGGTGGAATACAGCTTCTCCTTCCAGCCTTTTCTCCCTCCCAAGCCATGCTCTAAATTCAGTCTTCTATCCAGTTCAGCTTAATGTGAGAGCACTTGGCTGCTGAGGCAGCAGCAAATTCTGTCTCAAAACACATGCGTTCTGGGTGCAATTCTGCTTTCGCTTACACTGGCACAAACTGGAAGCAACACCTTTGTGCTCAATGGAATTACACTGATATGAAGATGGACGTGTGGAAACCTTCAGACCTTACATGCACCAGAGTATTTCTGAGGAGATATTGTTTTCTTGTTGGAAGACAATCGCTGCTGTTCTATTCAACCCAGAGCCTGCATTTCAAAACATTTCTTTAAACTTGATGTAACACATCCATGTTAAGTTCGGAAGAGACCTTTTCTGCCTTCAAATAGTCCACCCAGATGGAAAAAATATAGAAACTGTATATGCTGCATGATAAATGAGGTGTATGCCACGTACTAAATGCTTGAAATGTATGTGTCAGTGTTAATGCCTTTCAAAATATTACAGGACCAGTCTTTCTTCTTTAAAATGTATGGCATGACACAGTATGCTCTGACTGTCATGAACACTTGCCAGTGTTGTAATGTTTTAAGTACAGACTACATTGAGTAATATACTTTAAATATACGGGTACAGTAAATTTCAGTCAAATAGATAACATCTGGGCATAGTCCATATGAGACTGTAAAAAGTGTCCAGAAACAGATAGAAAAGCCTGGTGCCAAGCCTCAGCTTGAGTTGCAGAGTTTGAGTGGATTTGATGCGTCAGCTAACCAGATTTTATGAGGAAACCCCAACCTAGCCCATCAAATGGAGAGATGTAACAAATCATTAGCAAGCTTCATAGTCAGAGAAATGCCTTTGGTAAGAATCAAATTCCACCAAATGGATAAAGGCTGCCTTTATTGCCTGAGCTTGGAGTGTCTGTCTGTGGTTAATCAGAGCACAGATGTGTACTCCATTAAATACCCCACAGGGCTGCCTTAGATCCAACTTCCTCTTACAATTCATCAGCCCAAGGAGCAGTATCTCCCAGATGATCTACCATGTTAGAAAACTGTATTTCTCATGCCTACCTTTATGCCAGTGTCCCCCTTTTCACCCTGCCCCGCAAAGGAGAGAGAGAGAAGAAACAAGAGAGAAGGATGGTGAGCATAAAGAGAAATTGAGCAAGCTGTACAATTGTTACAAAAGCAGAAGAGAAAGTAGCTGAAAGCTGAAGTGTGCGACAAACACAACCCAGGCCTCCAGAGAGAACTGGCTCCTGATAATAACATGGTACCAGCCTGAACACTAGCTGCAGCCCACCCCTCCCTGGGAATGCAAGGCAATTTACATTGTTGGATGCTAGAGGTCACCCATACTAATGCTTTCCTACATGTTTTGTGTTGTAGACAAACTGTCAAACCATTTCATGGACCAGAGTATCTTCATTCTCCCAGCCTTAATGCAAAGCCCCTAAAGGCTGGGTTAGTCTTATCCTTTAATGGGGGCCTGTGCAGGGCTGAACCTGACCCTGGTTCCGGACAGCAGGCAATCACTCTGGCCAAAATTGCCCACGCTTTTTACATAAGAGTGAGTTTTTCTCTTTATGTGGCTCATACCAGGCTCTAGAGAACTGCCTCCAGCCCCTGAACTTCTTTATTCCCTTCGCATGTCTCTAAGCTTGTGTGCCACTTATGTGTTCTTGGGAGATGGCCCAAATGACTCTGAGTTTAAGGGTTACCTTGGGGCCAGTAGCTCCAGGGAGGCCATGTGCACCAGGCAGGCCTGACTCACCCACCTCACCCTGAGGAAGAGAAGAAAGAAAAGGAGGAAGAAGCAAATGCAGTGAGCAGCAAGAAGACCATGGGTTGCCTGAAAGGTCAGAAAAGATGTCCCGCGCAGGGGCACCCACCACACACCAACCTACCATGTGGGTCTCTCTGGGAGAGGAGCACCATTCTGCATCAAGATATTTAGGGTGAGAAATGAATAGATTGAAGGGAGTGGTCCCACAATCCTGTATATCACCTTTGCTCAACTTTACCCTCTTTTCCCTTTCCCCTGACCTACTCGCCAGGGAAGATCTTCTCCGCTATTTTCATCCATTCCTTCCACCTTTCCCAGAGAAAGGTCACAACCTCAGGCTCATTCCTCTGGGATCAGTGCAGGCTCTTTACTTGGTAAGTAAATTAGCCAGACAAGTTGTTTCATGTAAGAGGAGCTAATATGAGAGGCCCTCACTGCGAGGTCATCACAGGGATCCCCTCACTGCTCCTGTGTGCTGAGAGCTGCCCCCCCAGCACACACACAGGACAGGATGGGCTCTTAATGGGAAAACCAACGGTTCACTGGAAGAAGAGGCAATAAATCGTGTCTGTCTGCAGGAGTGGGCTGTGGTCTGTGAGGGCTGTAATTTCCACTTCCTGACATAACAAAAACTTCTCAGTTTATACAGAACTAATTAAAAAGCTCTCAGGTCTTGCCTTTTGCTCACAGAGCGCCCGTAAAGCAATGTGGAGGTAACACGGGACATAGGACTCCTGCCTGCCGGGAGCATTCACCTTTCCCTTCTCCAGCTGACATCTCTTTAGTAGTATCTCTCCATTCTCTCTCTCCCCTTTGATCTTTCTTTGTGTCCTTTTGCTGTCTCTCTTTCTATCTTTTCATTCCACCCTCTGGACTTGACAACCCTGCTGTTAGTTAGCTGCTGCTGAAGATATTTGGGCACTGCCAGCTTCTGCCTTTTAACCTAGAGCAGGATTGACTCTTTTCTTATTTATTCCAGAGAGCAGCACATAGCCAGGGATTTGGCCCTTTCCAGTCTCTTGTTCAGGTCTGGATTCACAAGAGCCTTCAGCCTGGAAGTGGGTTTAAAGAGCACACAGATGGGGAGATGCCTGTCCCATAGCTACTAGGAAGCTAAAGGTATCACTGGGTCCAGCCTCTCCTAATGTGGGCAACAGCAGGGGATCTCTTTACCAGTTACAGCCCTATGTCCAGCAGAAAGAGAGCTCAGAAGAATGCTCCAGAGGAGTCCACAGATTTGCATTTGTGACCCCACAAGGCATCAGTGCAGCTTAAATCATTAGACAATATTGCAGCTCCCCTCTTACCTTTCGGCCAGGGTATCCCTGAATCCCAGGGTCCCCCTACAAAAGGCAAAAAGACAAAATAAAGTGAGGCTTAGCCTGAGATGGACAAATCCCTGCCCTTTTCCCTGGGTGATGCTGGAATGGAAGGGGATTCCATGGGGAAAATTCACCTTTTGCTCAGAGTGACTCCACGATGTTCCTGACCCTTCAGACCTGTGGGTCACTGTTACCTGCACTGGACTGAGCCCTAGCAGGAAAGGCACAACAAGCACTGGCAGCTGAACAACAGTGCCAGCTCTGTGCCTCAGCTGTGTGTTTCCCATCTCCTCACCCTGGCTACATACCTCAAATAAAAACAAATGGGGGTGGGTGGCGGCAGCTGAAAAACAACAACAACCACCCCCTCTTTCGCATTTTGGCAAGTGAATAAATGGGAAACTGTGGTGGAGTTAACAATAGCATTGCAAAATCAGTTCCTGAAGCGCTGGTAAACGCTTTGAGAATGGAAGAAGCCAATAAAGCTGTGTGTGGCAAACAATTTTGCAAGAGGGGCTGATGAGGCGTGCCTTGCTCAGTCAAGATGCGACTCAGACGTGTCGCCTGGATAAAACCCATGAGTCAGCAACGGGCCAGGCCCCAAAGGCAATACTGAGATGGGTTAGAAATCTTTCTCAGCTATTTGATGTAACCTCCTTCCCCCTCCTCCTCCCAACAAAATGTACGCATATCATGTTGCCAGGAGCGTCCACCTCTGTTTAGTATTTTTCTACCTCCAAGTGAGGCGCGATGTCTCACCTTTGGTCCAGGAGGCCCAGGTAAGCCCTGCAGATAAAATCGCAACAAACACTGGAGTTGGAAAATGTAGACAACATTATATGGGCTGCAGGGTGGTGGGAGATGATGACTGCTTTGGTTTGAAATGCCTCTTTCTAGAGATGATTTGCACTGGTGAGCACAAACATCCCCCATCTGTTCTTCATGAATACTGTCTTAACCCATATATACAAGTAAGTTCATGCCCATAGTGCTCCATCCACCCAGGCCTGGTCTTGATGAATCCAAAGACCAAAAAGCTGCTTTGCCTTATTCATTGTACTCTAGAATCTTTTCTATTTCTTTGCATTTACTTGGGAAACTTGTTCCAAGCCCACTGTGCAGCTCTGGAGTAGCAAAGGTGTTTGCAGCTTTCTCTGACAAGCTAAATGAAGAGAACATATTAACAAACCACTTGTGTCTTTAAATCAGAAATAACTGAACAATTTACCTGATATGTACCACAAAGCATACCAGATACATGTGTATGTAAATGTAAATAAACACAATATCCATCCAGGAGCTGCCTTCTTGATGTGAACAGATAGGAGAAAACCACTCTATACCACCCTTGATGTCATCTGCTTATAGTAATTAAAATGTTTAGTAATCACATCTTTGACTCCTCAGAGCTCAAAGAGAGTTGAAGGTGCTTACAGAATACCTGACCCCTATATTCTGTGTGGAGAGGTGCTTTTGGGGACAAGACTTGCTTGTCCCGCTAGCAGGCCTCGAAAACTCTGAGATGGAAAATTCTTTCATGTTGCAGCAACTGTGGGGCCAGCATGTCATGTTTCTCCCTGCAGCTCCCAGGAACGGTTTCTGGTACCCACCTTTCCATCTCTGCCAGGCTTCCCAGGTTCTCCAGCTATGCCCTGTCGGAAGAGAGAGGTACCTTAGCAAGATTTTCTGCTGTACCCTGCCATTCAGCAATGGTATTGTCTTAAACAGTACTTCTGGTCTTGCCCTCCTTGGCTGCTTGTTACCAGCCTGAGAACAGGACAGAGGCAGAGCTTCAAAGGAGTCACAGGGATGCTTATCAGCCAGGTTTCTGCTGTGAGCAGGACAATTACATCCTTCATGCTACTTCCTCCCTGTGTCCCTTTGCAGAGCCTGAGGAGGAGGAAATGAGCCTTGGTGTCACCCACTCACACATGTGTGTCCAGATAGCAACAATGCTGGCTGCACACCTCCGCTCTCCCTCACACTCCCTGTCCTTCCTGAGAACTTCGTCCTCCACACACATTCACATCCCCTACAAATCTCCTGTCTGAGGCTATCTTGGCTTCAGAAGAGGCAACAAAGGGCAGAGAAAATCGTGCCCTAGGGAAAGAGGAAGCAGAAGGCTTTTTTGTAATTGTACTTACAGGTGGTCCAATTGGCCCTGGCTGCCCTGGGATTCCTTCAGGTCCAGCCGGTCCAGCCGGCCCTGGTGGACCAGGGGGGCCCGGGGGACCTTGGATTCCTGCTTGTCCTTGTTCACCCTGTGGTTTGTTAAAACAACGGGTTATGAGCAGGCAGAGCAAACCTTTCACACCAGCACCCCAGAGGCCCAAAGCAGATCAGCCTGGCTGAAGCAGAAGAGGTAGAACAAGTCCCAGGTTAGTGCTAGAAGAGGTTTCCAAGAGTGAGGGAGAGACCTTCTGAGGATGGCCAGGCTGCCTGGGCAGCAGGAGCCACCACCCTACAGTTTGCAAAGACATCTGAGGCCACCTTGTTAGACCTCTCTTTAAAAGGGATCTACAGATGACTGAGCAGTTCGAAGAGATCTTTTTCTCCATTCAGTCAAGTACAATTTATAAGTCATGGACCAACATCTCTTGAGCTTCTCAGGAGGCTTTCCAAAGCACTTGACAGTCATATGTGAAGCAAAGCCTCCCGTGACCACCCTGGCACTTCCAGGCAGAACCACAGTGTCTTACCTCAGCCTATTTTTTTCCCTATGCTATATTTGTTGGACAAATATATCCCTCTGTTTTGCCAAGGACCAAAAGTAGAAATGCCACAAAACCAAAAGAAAATAACACGATCATCACGGCATTTCTGGAGCCTGCCCAGAACATGCCTATGTGCACCAGGAAGAGCCTGGTTTTGTAAGATTTAACAAGCTAGTGCCTGCAGAGCCACCTGCCATTTTAAGCTCCCTGAAATAAAGCTGTTTCAGCCGGTTCCTCCCCAGACCCTTCAGTAGCCATTTGGTGGCTGTGGCTCATGCCTCAGCAATGTCATCTGGCCCAAAGGACCTCGACTTGGGATCAAGCGGTGCTGAAGGAGACAGTGGGTTGGAAGTGCCACGTTTGAATACCAGACTGCTGATCACAGTATCACAGTATGCTAGAGATTGGAAGGGACCTCAAAAGATCATCTAGTCCAAACCCCCTGCTGGAGCAGGAACACCTAGATAACGTTACACAGGAATGTGTCCAGGCGGGTTTTGAATGTCTCCATTGTGGAGACTCCACAACCTCCCTGGGCAGTCTGTTCCAGTGTTCTGTCACCCTCACTGAGAAGAAGTTTCTTCTCAAGTTTAAGTGGAACCTCTTGTGTTCCAGTTTGTACCCATTACCCCTTGTCCTATCATTGTTTGCCACTGAGTAGAGCCTGGCTCCATCTTCGTATATTTATATACACTAATAAGGTCACCCCTCAGTCTCCTCTTCTCTAAACTATAGAGACCCAGCTCCCTCAGTCTTTCCTCATAAGTGAGATGCTCCACTCCCTTCGTTGCCCTGCGCTGGACTCTCTCCAGCAGGTCCCTGTCCTTCTTGAACTGAGGGGCCCAGAACTGGACACAATATTCCAGATGGGGTCTCACCAGGGCAGAGTAGAGGGGAAGGAGGACCTCTCTCGACCTACTAACCACCCCCCTTCTAATACACCCCAGGATGCCATTGGCCTTCTTAGCCACAAGGGCACAGTGTTGGCTCATGGTCATCCTGTCGTCCACTAGGACCCCCAGGTCCCTCTCCCCTACACTGCTCTCTAACAGGTCGTTTCCCAACCTATACTGGAACCTGGGGTTGTTCCTGCCCAGATGCAGGACTCTACACTTTCCCTTGTTTTACTTCATCAAGTTATTCCCTGCCCAACTCTCCAGCCTGTCCAGGTCTCGCTGGATGGCAGCACAGCCTTCTAGAGTGTCAGCCACTCCTCCCAGCTTAGTGTCATCAGCAAACTTGCTGATAGTACACTCAATTCCCTCATCTAAATCATTGATGAATATATTAAATAATACTGGTCCCAGTACTGACCCTTGAGGCACTCCACTAGATACAGGCCTCCAACTAGACTCAGCCCCATAGACTACAACTCTCTGGCTTCTCTCCTTCAGCCAGTTCACAGTCCACCTCACTACCTGATCATCCAGACCACACTTCCTCAGTTTAGCTGTGAGGATGCTGTGGGAGACTGTGTCAAATGCTTTGCTGAAGTCAAGGTAGACCACATCCACCGCTCTGCCATCATCCATCCACCGTGTAATTTCCTCATAAAAGGCTAAGAGATTGGTCAAGCATGATTTCCCCTTGGTGAAGCCATGTTGACTGCCCCTCATAACCCTCTTATCCTTGATATGCCTTAAGATGGCACCAAGGATAAGGCGTTCCATCACTTACCCAGGGATGGAGGTGAAGCTGACCGGTCTATAGTTACCCGGGTCCTCCTTCTTGCCCTTTTTGAAGACCGGGGTGACATTTGCTTTCCTCCAGTCCTCAGGCACCTCTCCCGTTTCCCAAGACTTGGTAAAGATGATGGAGAGCGGTCTAGCAATGACTTCCGCCAGTTCCCTCAGCACCCGCGGGTGCATCCCATCTGGACCCATGGATTTATGGATGTCCAGATTGCTCAACTGGTCTCTAACCCGTTCCTCATCGACTAAGGCAAACCGCTCCGTCGACCTGACTTCATCTAAGGTCTCAGGGATAAAGGACTCTTCAGGACTGCCTGCAGCAGAGTAGACAGAGACAAAGAAGGCATTCGGTAACTCTGCCATCTCTGTATCTTCTGTCACCAGGGCACCCATCCCGTTCATCAGTGGGCCTACATTCCTCTGGTGTTAGTTTTATCTGCCATCTGATCTATAATTGATGAATCCAGCACAATCCTAAGGCACTGTGGCATCCACACTAAGCTGTTAGTCTTGTGGTCTCCACTCCCATTCCCCCTCCCTAGATAAAATACCATGACACCCTACTGGTGGAGACCCAATTTAAATTTGAAAACCTCTCCTTGGTGGATCCACGGGAAGCTGGAAGTCAAACATGGTTGTTTCTCAATTATAAATCAGTGGGTGTGCAGTTGGGTCTCTGCTGCATTTATCCTCTCTACAGCCTTATACACTACTACTGGGTAAAACTAAGTCTGCTCTCATGCATTTGTGTGTGCAGGAGAATGCATGAAATCTGTCCCGTGTGTGTTCCTACCAAGTATGCTCTTTATCCTGGCTGCTTTTGGTAAAACACACAGATACAGGGATGTTTGCCCTATTTATAATGATAAATGAAAGTAATAAGCTGCAAATTTCATCCCTTCTGCCATGAGTTCTATTTAAAATTTCCAAAACACAGGCTAGGCTCACAGGAAGTTCAGTCATGTGGAGCAACAGCCCTTCTCCGTGGGAGAGACACTGCCTTGCCGACAACTCACAGCCTGTGCTGGGAAGCCTGCTGGGCCAGGCAGGAAAGGTGCCCTCTGTTTTCCCTGTTTTGTAAGTGGATCCTGGCTCACCCTGTGGCACATGCAAGGGGACACAGGATCCTTCCTGAGCTTCCCTATCCTCCATGCTCTGTGCTATTTAACTGTCCTGTAAATGGTCTCACTGCTTTTAAATTTGTGAGGGAATTTGCATCCAATGAAGACAAGACGTTTGGAGGGCACTGGAGTATTTTTCTAGATTTCTTCTTGCCCTGACCTTGCAGCCCAGCTTCAGAGATTTCACTCCCATTGCATCTTACATCACTCCCACCATGGGTGCACTAAAGAGTACATGCATATTACAGCACCCCTACCATGGGAAGACAAAGGATCTTTTCCTGTCTCCCATTGATTCTCCCTCCTCTATTCCCATCTCAGCTACTCTCTGTCAGCCCAGTCCATGCTTCAGATTTAGGACATTATAACGCAGCACGGGGCTGTGAGGGGGTGCTGGCACCCTGGCAGGGTACAGGGAGATGTGGAGAGCAGGAGCCCTGCCCCAGCACAGGGAGCAGCTGGAAGGAGCTCACCCAAACTCCCATTTGCATTGCCTTCACTTTGCTGCCTTGAACAGAGTGTGCTTTGTCTAAGTGAGCGCCTGTCCATGCAGATCCCTAAACATGCAAAATATTATTATCACATCATTATACTCTTATTAATGTATTCAGCACAAAAGGACCACCACAGGTCTAACCGGATGGTAAATGGATACAGTAAATTGGAGATCAGGTGTCATTCTCATCAGGTGTCTCCAGGCTGAGAGAGCTGAGCTTGTTCAGCCTGAAGACAAAAAGGCTCTGGGGAGACCTTAGAGCAGATTCTGGTGCCTAAGGAGACCTACACGAAATCTGGAGAAGGACTTTTTATAAGGACATGTAGTGACAGGACAAGGAGGAATGACTTTAAACTGAGAGGGTAGGTTTAGATTAGATATCAGGAAAAAAATATTCACTATGGGGGTGCTGAGGCACTGGAACAGGTTGCCAAGAGAAGCTGTGACTGCCCCATCCCTGGAAATGTTTGCGGACAGGCTGGATTGGGCTTTGAACAACCTGCTCTAGCGTAAGTGACCAGTGACCATGGCAGGAAGGCTGGAACTAGATGATCTTTAAGGTCCCTTCCAACCCAAACCATTCTATGACTCTATGATTCTATACGATTAGCTATTAACTGGAGCTATTTTTCAGTTCTTTTAAACACCATTTAGCAACCCTGCTTCGGGCCCAGCAATCCAATGCTTGTTCAGCCTCCTAACACAGGTCTACACTCAGCCCATGTCTCTGCTAAGCCTAAGCCTTTGGGCAAAGCCCTCTTGCTGATGTGCTCAGAGGCAGCAGCAGGATTTTCCCCTCTCAGGCACGGTGCTAATGTTTATTTTTCAGCCTCACATATTTTCTTAGTATTCATATGTTAAGCTCCTGGAATTGCCAGGTGCTGGCAGATCTGTAGGAGTGGATTACACTTTGTTACACTTAGAGAATGAATACAGTAACAGCAAAACCAATCATGGCAAAATTCTTCAGTGAAGTTACCCTCTGGGGACAGAGGGAATTTGCAGCCCTGGCTGACAACAGGACTCAGGGCAGCTATTCAAGTTTCCCACTTCATCCTGGATACGAACATCAGCTTTCAAAGCCTTCCCAAGAGGTCAGTCCTTGGCCTGGCTCTCCAGACTGTCACTTTGAAGGCTGACCAGAGCAATCCATGGGGCTTTGTGTGTTGCAAACACTGAATCGATAGAAACTGAATTGAGACCGGAGGCTCAAGTGATAACGTCAGGACTTTGCCAGCACTGGGCAAGGACTAGGCACCTCGTGGTAAGGGCCTGTAGTGCAGACAGCGGTTCCCTGCTAGCATCTGACAGTCTAGACAGGCAGCAGGGTGACAAAACCAAGCCACTTAATAGAGGGTGCCCAGCACACTTCAGCGGGGTAATTACAGCGGTTTGTCCACACGGGAAAGTTAATCCCAATTGATGAACAAGGGAGCTCAAAGTGGGCTCATTAAAAGCCACATGAACTCTGACTATGGACACTCTTATTCACTCTTCATATGTCTGTAATTCATCTTATGAATTCATTCCCAAAATAAACTAAACTAAACATGAATTATGGCCCTGGAAACCAAAATAAATGTGTTTACACAAAGATTTAATGCAACTTAATGAAACCATTATAACAGCTTATTTAAACACATTTTCCCAAGTGTCTCAGACTAGACTAGCCCATAGAAGAAGCATTTGCCTATTCATTCATCTCAGTTAAGTTTCACAGACATTAGCTGCATTTCAGCAAGAGGTTTCTGACCTCTTCTGAAGATTGAATATGCAGGAACTGACTCCATAATGTAGGAGGCTGCTTGTTGACAGTCCTGAGAACAGTTTCATGGCCCGCTTCTTTTAGTTTAGAAAACTGGCTTCACTGGATTTCTTTTTATCCACATTATCACATCAAAGATTTTCCCTGCTTCAAAGAAAGCCCCTCAGCTCTGCCTGAACCTCTTGGAAAGCCCATGTAGGGTAAGAAAGACAGGTAACAAGCTAATTAATTTAAAGCATTGGGGTAAGCTTAGAAACAGGCAACAAGGAGAAGTCTACCTGGAAAGTGCGTCTCTTTATGACCGGAGGCGGAGCCAGCCGCACTGAATTGAGGAGAGGCAACAGCTGAAGAAGATCAAACCAGAAGATCGCAGTGCAAAGGAGGCCGTTAGGGCACCAAGAGTCAGAGAGCAGCCAGGGGAGAGAACAGAGAAGAGGGGAACAGAGAGATTGCTGTAAAAATACCCACCCACAAGAGCCGTGCACAGAGGGTGCACAGCACAGGTACCTGCCGGCAGACCTCTGAGCTCCTCCGTGCCATGCATCGCTCACAGGGGGACCTGTCACATGCCAGCACTGGCAAGTGATGCTGCGCTTGCCAACCTGATGCTCCCAGCACACAGAGCTTTTACTGCTTTCTCTGGAAATTAAAATTGCCTGGGGTTGAGGGTTGACTCATCTCTACTGATCTCCTCAGGCAGTATTTACCACATGACATCCCCCCACAGGCTCTGCTAAGCTCGCTAGTGACAGGACTGTTCCTTTTAATTTCTCAACATCAGATTTGAGGCAACTATCAAAATGAAAATTTTCTTCAAATTTTCCAAGTGTGATTTCCTAGTTCTATCCATCTTTCATTACAAAAAACACATTGTATCTCCAGGCATCACCCTTCTTCCAGGGGTAGGAGTAGAGAAAGGGTAGAAGAGGTCAACAGAAGGCACCAGGGCCAGAAAACAGGTCTTACTGTGGTTCATTTAGCTGGGTTCATTTTATCATGGCCAAAGGAAAAGACTAGGCCTTGGTGTCTGAGTCCTAAGCAGGGTATTGCTTTTGAAGCCTATGCTTTGCTTTTCCTTGTGTAACTGTAATATCATCCTCTGACTGCTTATAGATAGGAATGCTGCCTTAGGGCACAAAGCTGACCTGGACACACAGAAATCAAATGCACCAAAGCTCAGAAGCATCTGTTCATCCTTCTGCTGTATCTAGTTTCCACTTACATGCATGCAGCAGTCACCCTGGCACCCACCATGCCGGCTCCAAGCCCAGGAATGCTCCTCTGGCCAGATCCACTTTCCTGTTCCTATCAGTTTTCCATTGAAGCTGCTCTTGATTTACACAGGGAAAAGATGCTTTCTATGCTCAGACACAAAAAATGTGCCCCTGCATGCAAAGTTTTCCCCATGTGAGTTGTGCACTCAGATCTGAGAGGTGTGCCCACAGGTTTCCCACCACAACAACCATATGCACCGAGGAAGTGCACTTTAATCACTTTAAACACTGTTCTTCACGTTTGCAGTGAAAGTAAGGACCCAGTCCTATTGCAAAGTGAAGCGGCAATCCAATATTGCAGCATTGCTGCCCTGTGATCAGGCAGTTGTGTTCAAATGATGAACCAGACAGCCACAAGCTATCACAACAAAAGCTGCTGGTAATTCAGCTACACTGATTTCATCTGAAAGAAATCCTTCTCTTTCTAAAAGACAGTGCAGGAGGCCCCATAGCCCAGGAGAGGATGTGGGACTGTGTTAATCTTCTCAAGGGAGATGCTGCTGTAAATCCCCACACCTCTGTGCTAAGTGTACTTAGCACATCTGTACCAGCAACCCAGACCCAGCCGAGCTGGCTTTACCTGGCTCCTCAAGTGCTGAAATACTATGCAGCTTACAGGGAAGCAGGGAGGATGCTGGAAAAGATAAGGAGGAAAATGGAGAAAAGCCGTCCTGAAAACAGAGGTGAGACAAGACCCAGCAATGGATTCAGGCGCAAGTGGGAGATTTTAGAGATGAAACTTGAAGCCTCTTCCACACAGCTCCTGCCCTGCCCCTTCTATGTCTCAATGGCAAGCTTTCGTCAGAAGACAGCATGTAATATTGGATCCGCATCTTCGAGCCTTTGCATCAGAACTGGGTCCCATCAGATTGTTACACACAAACCTTCAGAGTAAGGATCTGGTTAGAGCGCAGGGCTGCAAGGGTGGTACTTAGGTATTCCTAGGGGACAGCGAAGACACATGACACAAATGGGGTCAGTTAGACACACAGCACTTCTGAGAGCAGATGGAGCATGTCTGGTCCCCCATTTCCCTGAGTTGAGTGCCCTTCATCAGGGCAGCACTTCGGAGCACCTCACGCAGCCACACAGAATGTGTAGCCGTGCTACCAGGTTCATCCCTCACAGCAGTGCAGGCTGTACAGGCTCACTCAATAAAAATAGGAAATCACAACAAGAGCCAACCCATACGTCCTAACCTTATATTTCCTTCCTAAGAAAACAAAGGCAAAACAAAACCAAAACAACATCCTTGGATTTTCAGGATGCCGGATTTCTTTTCCTCACTCAGAATACCTGACAAAGGACTTTGTCAACCAGTAAAGCAAGTGAAAATTGAAATTCAGTCAAATGTGTAGCATTTTTACAACAAAGCTCATCCTAATTTTCATTCTGGGGGGAAGAGAGAGAACTGCACCTCTGGTGGCTCATTTGTGCCTCAGCCTCCATGAACTTGCAGGCTGTGACCAGACCCTTCAGAACTGCCCACCCTTGAGCAGATCTGAGGATAGCCACCCTTCCTGTGAGCATGTTTCTGCCTTGCAACTACTCATGGGCTTTTTAAAATGTTGAGCTTGCTGCTTCATGAGACCATAAGTATCTCCAAGGAAACATCGCTAGGATTTGCTGGGACGTGGGGCTTTGCACTCACCCTTTCCTCACTGCCACAGCCCTGCAGTATGTCACCCTGCATGCCTACAACCCCAAACCCAAACCAGCGTGCCTTTGCTCCCAGGCATGAGCCTGGCTACTCCCAGTGATGTACGAGCTGCATCTCCATTTCCCAGTGTTGCTGCAGGTCCTGAGGCTGCTTTTCACCTTGAGCACTGAGGACAGCCCAGGCCAAGGGCTGTAACGGGAAGCCAGGACACCACTCCAGTGAGCATTGTTAGCTTCTTTTTAACATAACAATCTAGTGAGCCCACTAGCCTAAATAAACACAGCTGACCAGCTATTATTGTACTGGGACTGGCACAGACCAATGGCTCCCTTCTGTCTTGCTGCCAGCTGAGCTCTCTCTCCTGTCTTTGCTGCTTGGAGCATCCAGGGCCCTGCTCCCTCAGGGCCAGGGACCAGAGCCCACCTAGTTGTTCAGAGGCCCATCAAAATAAACAGAAAGCCCCCTTAAGCCTATCTCTCTGTACACCCAGATTACAAATTCCAGCTGCTTCATATGATGTTGTTCCAATGGATTTTCAGCGCCCTGGTTGTTTTTAGAGCTGGTTAAATTTTACCACTGTAATCCCCTCAAACCCCATGATGTCCTTTCTCCTCTCTTGGCTGTGGCACATGCCAGCCAGTCCAGGACAAAGAGACAAGTGGGACAACATCCTGGCTTTTGTTAAACTGTTGCTAGAATCAACCCTCCTTCTCTGTCTCTTTGCAAGCAGAAAGCCCACCAGGCTGGGGGACTGGGCATGGGCACCAGCTCATCAGGAACCGGCCAGAGCACTGGGGTCAGGGGTGATCAGGGTTACTTTTGGAAAGGAAGCACGACCCTCCCTGTTGTCTCTGTGGAGGGCTGCAACCAGCACGAGAGAGAAGAAAAAGGAAGTAATGATCATAGATTTTCCCCAAGATCTGCAAACGACATACTGCTCCTGACCACACACCTGCAGTGGAGGCTGAGGAAGCAGGACAGAGGTGGTGTAGCAGCAGCACAAGGTGTGAGTGTTCTCACTCTTCTAGAAATCCCAGGTTTTGTTGGGTTTTGGGGTGAGGATACAGACCTTCCCTGTCCGGCACAGAACCATGAGAGGGTCACAAGGAAGCAGCAACTGCATCATTTAGCTGGGGGTGAGCCCAGTGGGCAGGAACAGACTGGAGAACCAATACCCCTCCTGGAAAACCTTATCTGCTGCTTTTCTGTGAAACACATCTATCAGCCGAGCACTGCCCTCAGGGCCCAGGTGACTCCTCTTGTTAATGAAACGATCTATATTTCCAACAAAAAGGCCATCCAAACAAAGGAGGATTAACATGCAGGAAGGCACGGGGCAGATGATAATAACGCTAATGACTTACCCTGTGCGGGTACTCTGCACACTGACCCTGTGAAAGAATGGGATTAAAAGGAACGAGTTTAAACCATGAACAGAGAGCACCAAAATAGACACACAGGATAAGACCCAGATGGTGTAAATCATTGTGACTCTATTGAACTCAGTGTGGCTATGCCAATTTGTACCCTGCAAACATTCTGCCTCCCGTCCCTTTAGCCCCAGAGCCCTATGTTCTTGCTGCATTTCTTAGCCACTCAGTCAGGCTGATCAGCACCAACTCCGTCCTTTCCTTCCTCATATTTTACATTTAATTTTCAACATATCTCTCATTAAAGTTACCTTTTCTCCTTTTTGTCCTGGGGGTCCCTATAAAAGAAAAGTGATAAAAAAGTCCTCAGTAAATTAGGAAGTTCAATTTATGCAAGATGAAAGGGATTAGGAGGAGGTGTGATTACAAGAGATGGGATACTTACGGGTTGTCCCCTGGGACCTGCAGCACCCTTTAAAGAAACACAGTTGTGAATGCGAGATGGATTCCCATTTACAGTGACAAGAAGACAAAAACTCTCAGTGTATGGAGTAGGTGGAAACTCAGCTTTTAAAAACAATTGTGGATAAAGTTCCCAGGAGATCTGGGTTCTCTTTGTTACTCTGGAGGAGTGAAAATGCACACATGTTCTGGCTGCACCACAGGGGGGAATTATTAAAAGGAGAGGAGAAAAATAACCAGGAAAACACACCCTTATTTTTCCCAGGACCTCAGTTGACTGCGCATCTTGGTCAACGCACTGGGATTGAAACAGAAGCAGTCAGGACTGAAGCCTGAGCTGCAACTGCCTGAGCTAGGACTGCATAACAGGGGGATGTCAGCTCACCCCTTCACTGGAGGAGGGAATCTTCAACGTGCATTTGCCAGAGGGTTATACTGACACTCAAGTTCAAAAAACAGAATTAGCAGAAGAAAAAGTTCAGCATTTCAGTGAGCAAAGGTAACTACAGAGCTACTAGCTTGGCATACTCATGTTTGGGGATTTCATCAGCAGAGACGTTGAGAGGAGCAAGACCTCATTTAGGTTTCCATTGAGTGCAGCCTAAGTTTATCATTTTCAACCAAAAGCGTTTTAGTATGATGCACACATGAAACAGAGCTTCAAGAGGGAAAAAAAATATTTAATACAAAAAATATGGTGGTTTTCTGTTGTTGTTAGATAAGTTGAAAACTGCCAGATGGGTTTTCAGAAATCTTTCCATCGACTTTTACTTCTGCTATGAGGCCAACCACGAAAAATGTCAGCTCCCAGAGTATATTTAAAGAACGTAATTGCTAACTGCAAGGAAAACATATCCCATGCGTAACTGGAGAGTAGCTGTTGTGACATGATGAACCTGATAGCCATAATGTAAAAATTACGGATGTGCATCCAAGCACTGCTATTATGAAGTTACAGAATTAGGGACACAGCTAGTGCATTAGCTGAACTAAGATCTCTACTCTGCCTATGAGCTTGTTTCCTGCTGAGAGGCAACATCATGTCAAACCAGGAGATAAAAATATATTTTTTTTTACCATCTCCCCCTTCTGTCCAGGGTAACCCTGCAAAAGACAGAAAACATGCATCAGCTTCAACCACTGCAGTCTCTAGAAGATATTGACCCACTTAACCCTTTGCCTCAGGAGGTGCCTGCAGTTACTATACCTTGTCAAGGGAGGTACAACATTGTGCACGTGGAGCTTTGCTTCCACACTTAAGAGAAAACCACTTCCTGCTACCCACAATGCTGAGGACAAAGCTCTAGAGAATGAATATGGGGTGCAAAGGCTCCTTGGGGCATGGCTAGGACATTGTTAAGCCCCTCCTTGGGCTGGCAGAGCTACTTCAGCTGAGTGCAGGGTACTGCACCTTACTGGGACTCAAGTGTGTATTTTCAGGGCAGTAGAAGAGAGAAGCTGGTGGGTCTCTTTTGAGAGTGATGCTCCTCATGGCAAAAACAGAGTCCTGCTATAGGAAATGAGACGTGAGCAATATGGGCTACCAGCTCTTTCTCCATTACAGCATGGCTAGAGGAAGTGTGGTGGGCAACTTGTCTAAGTGGCTCTCTGGAGCTATGGGTTTCATGTGAGTTTGGTTCATAGGGAAGTAGCTACAGTTGTGCTTAGCTCTCTAAGGATGGGAAGAACTTAGGTCTCTCTCTACTACAAAGCTGATTATAAGGAGGCCCAAAGGACAGCATGGAGGTCTTCAGAGTCCTTTCCTCTTCTACTGCAACTCTTTGCAGCACAACAGGAAAGAGAAAGAAGCTGTAGGGTCAACATCAGATGAAGCTGTAGGCTATCTTAGGCAGAAGGATGGTGCCTTGGGGGCCTGCTCTGTCTCTCTGATTGAGGGTGGGAGTGCCTGGTAAGATTTTCCCTGCTGCAGCCAGGCTGTTGCACTTGTGAAGCGCTATTTTATAGATTTGCCTAGAATGAAAGCAGCCACACTCTGACTTCACTGATCTCCTGACTTCTGCATCTCCCCCAAGGCATCTGTGGTATCCTTCTGCCTGCCAACCTTCTAATTTTCTTCTAATCCATGCATGTGCATGACATTGCAAAATAATCCTCTTAAAAACATCCTCTGTAACACACGGGCTGGCAGGACAGAGGGACCTAACAGACGGCAGGGCAGAAAGCCTTGAGAGAAGCTGTTTGCTTACCGGTTTGCCGTCCAAGCCGATAGGGCCCTGAAAGAAAAAAGAACATTATGAGAGATGCTTTCACTGGGTTTTCTGTCCATCTGCCCTGGAAACCATTATGTGTTGCAAGATTGCATGTACTGGAGTAAGGACATAGAGGAGAGGTGACCCTTTCTGCCCTCCCACCAAGTCCTGGCAGGTCCTTGGCCCACTGAGTACCTGCCCAGCTTCACAACTGCTTCTGCAGACACCTGGTCACTGTCACCCCATTTCAACAGCAACACCGGACACAAGAAGGGAGGGGAAGGAGGAGGAATTCATGGAAGTTTGCAAAAAACCCTCAGCATTTCACGTTTTGCCACGTCCTGTAAACTCATTGAAAATCAACAGTTTTCTTGAGACTTTGATTTAAAAAGGCACCCACCTTTGGGAGAACGGGGGGAAATGAATTTTTGAAACTGACAGAATAATAAAAGTGTCCCAGGGAAGAGGTGACACACAGCTCAGCAGCATGTTGAAGGTAGTATTTGATGAGAAATAGGCTCCACAGAACACTGTCCCAGCCAGCACTTTCTCATGAGCTGGGCTGATATTTTTTCTGTTCCTCCAAAAGCCAAAGACCACAAAGGCCTAGAGAAATCTGCTTCTCCTCAGCCCAGGGGCAGCTCACAGCTCCCTTTTTTGTAAAGGGCAGAGCCATGGAGCCCAGTCAGACAGTTCAGATGCTGCCAATTCCTCCCATTTTCCAGGCGTGAGAGTCTCCCCTGCAGACCAGCTCTGGCACATCGTGTGTCCTGGAGCAGCAGCTGAGCTGCCTGGCAGAAGCAGGGAAGTGGGGGGTGTTTGTGTTTGCTTTAGGCTTCCTAGTTGTCCAGGATAAATGCATAAGAATAAATAGCAACCATTTGAGTTCTCCAGCAGCCTCAACGCTTCAGAGAGTGTTGCCAGCAACTCTAGGACTGAAATGAGATTTGCTTTGTCCTCTCCTGGGCTTGTTTTCTGTTCCCTTGCCCCTCTGTAACAGTGTTGGAGAAGAATTCCCTATCGTTTTTTGTTCTTTCCCTTTGGTATGACTGGGGTGTTCTGCCTAGCAATGTCCACAGCTGACCTGCATCATGCAGGACCCCATTTGGGTCACAGGCACTTAGTAATACTGCAATATCACCTAAAGGCTCAATTAAGGTTGGAATTTCACTTACCTAAGGGTTATTTTCTTTGTTTGGAGATATTTCTTAGGATGGTTTTCTTTTACTGAACAGATCTGGCTTCAACTATGTTATTTTAACACTTGGGGGTTTGGGTTTTTTTAAATTAATTTCCTTTTGGAGTTGCATGGTTTGTTTGGTTTGGGGCTTTGGTTTTTTTCCCTAAGTATCATTTAAAAGAAAAAACAAAGGAAGAAAAACAAATGAAGAAAAAATTACTTCTTCCAGTGATACCAGATCAGGTACTTGATTTTAGACAAAAATTATGAGATACAGCAAGCACTAATGAGGTTTCCTACTGCTATTGCACACCCATACCTCATAAACTAGCAGTTACACTTACCGGGAATCCAGGAAAACCTCTTGTTCCAGGCTGTCCCTGGAAAGGATGAAGCAGAGAAAGCAGTTCAGAAGAACTGAAGTAGGTTTTGATGGACTATAAATCTTCCCTATGGAGCCTTCCCTCCAGCCTCTGCCCATTAATCCGGCAACTCTCTGAAGAGCTACACAAGGCTCAATTCCCCTTCAATGGGAAAGCATCTTGGGAAGGAGGGGAAATTTCTCATCCACACTCCAATTTGTACAGGGCCAAGTATATGCTGGAGCAGGTCCAGTTTAGACTGCAAGCAGTTTCCTTGAAGTTTCTACATTAATTAAATGGGTGTCCCTAGCCCACATGCTATGCTTTTGGAGTATATTCCAGAGGCTGAGCTCATTTTATGGCAATTCTTGCTGCCATAACCTGGAGGTGTTTAATGCAGGGTGCTGCTCTGTGCAAGACAAACCTTGCAGGTCACTGGTGTCTAAATACAGCCTTCCTTCTCGTCCTCCTCCCCTAATCTCATGTCCCGGTGCATTCACTTTCCTCACAAATAATTCTGGAGGAGAGATGATTTTTTTTCTTCTTTTCTGTTTTGCTTGTTTGTTTATTTGTTTTCTTCTGAGAGTTAAGAGAAAAAGGAGAGTTAGGTAGTGTAATGAGAGTAACGTGAGAGCCAAGACTTTCCCCTGCCTCTTTCTGACTAGCCAGTTTTGGCTACCAGTTTGGGATCAGGTACAGCAAACATTGTCTTGAGATGTGTTTGGCAGCTTCTTCATCACCAGTTCAAAACACTGAAAAAAGAAAATATCTTGGCTGTTAATTTTTCGTAATTCTTCAGTTTCTGGGACCTGTGACATCCCAGGCCACTGTTACCTAGGTTTGTGGATATCCAGTAAAGATACAGCTTTATTTAAGGATTTTTTAATCTCAATCTCCCCCAAAAAATGTGTGAGCCAAGTCAGGAAGCAATATGGACCTGAATTCAGCAGATCTGGAAGCACACCCATATAGATGGAAACAGCAGGAGGAGGTAAATCCTGTATGATGCTCATTGAGTGACCACTGTGGCATCTTGCCTTCCCCAAAAGCCATGTTACAACGCCAAAAAGTCCAGGTTTCTTATGTGTTCTCATGCTTTGTTTGGGGGAATAAAATGCTTTCTTAGGCAATATGAGATACCATGACTGGTATCTCATATTGCCTCACAAGGGTTTCCTAGGACAGACCTGGGTATAAGAAGGGTTCACTTCTGAAAAGAAATGCACTTGGGTGTATCTCTGCCTTAACCAGAGTGATTCCATGTGGGGGAAGGGAAGGGGAAGGAGGGGACAGACCTGCTAGGTTACAAGGCTGAGGTTTGCCACAGTGAAGCAACGAAAATCCCTTGGGAGAGAGCTCAGAGCCACATTGGCAGGGAAAACCTTCACCTTCAGGTTATGTCTCCTCCATCTGCAGACCCAAAGAATGTTTACCTTTCAAAGGATAGGGCCAAATAACCTCTTTGCAGAGTCTGAGAGATGCCCCTACCACAAAACGCCTCACGTTGCACTTAACAGTTCTGTTTTTATACAAAATGATACAGCACCTAATCGCATTTGCACTGTTTCTTTAGTTCTGCAAAGTTGAAATTGGTCAGCTTTGCTTTGCAAGATACATATAAAACCACCTGGTCCTGTTGGCCTGTCACCAGGAGGGAAGATAGGCTATAAATTAAAGGATCTGTCCACTGCTGGTTCCCGAAAAGGCAAGAACCAGGAGCAGACTAGCTACAATTCATTAATTTTGGTTCCTTTTTGGACACCTCCCTGGATAAGAAGTGCTAAAAAAAGAATTAGGGAGAAAACCTGGAAATGGTACAATTTGGCTTCCTCTGTAGACTGCAGACTCCTTCTCCTTGGGGGACGGCAGAGTGATTTGCACGGTATCAGGCCAAAACAACAGTTCAGCAGTGAGTGATTCCAAGAGACTGTTTTTGTTGGGTGGCTGTTTTCCCTTGTCTTCTTTTTAAAATGTTGATCATATGAAGTATGTAATCCCGGAAGCTGCCAAATCATGGAGACCGTCTGTTTCTGTCACTATCGGCATACTGTCCCTCTCTGGCCAGAAGTTAAGCAGCTCTGAGCTCGAGTGAAAGCTTTAACCTCCAGACAAAAATCTGGAAACTATTTGTCATCCCACATCTTTCCGAGTGGCCCCTTGGCCAGGGTTTCCTTGTTTGTCTTCAGTGCTCAGCCATCCTTTTGACCTATCAGCAGCTCTCTGGGAAACTGGATCATCTTCACAGTAGACTTTGGGGTGGAAGTGTGGAGTTGTGCCAGTGCTGGCACCTCAGGGCTTTGACTGGTGTAGGCAAAAGCCCACTTTAAATAAATTTGCCATCTAAGTTTTCCGCTGCTTTGGAGATGCAATGTGTTGTGCACTTTCCCAAAGAGCAGAGAAGGCAATGAGGCAAAGCAGCAGCCCCAAAAGAGACATTAAAAATTGCCCTGCAGAACAGGCATGTGTCCTTCCAGAAAATATTGATGCCTGTCTGTTTGCAGGACCTACAGTGACAGGGACTGATGGCTTTTCTCTCCAGTTACTATAACCACACTATTGAGAAGGCAAAAACTTTTACCTTCCAAAACCTACTGTTTGTGGAGCACGGTGGTCTTCCTCATGAGCGAGTTTGGCACTGAGAGACCTGGCAGCTCTTCCTCCTCAATTGGCCACATGATCAGAGCCTCTCTGCTGGATGTAAAACACTTGAAGATATCTGTTTGTGTCCTGGGCTTTGTTTCTGTCACTTCTCAAACTCCAGAGTGCCAGGCAGGTGGGCCTGGGAACTGGCAAACCTGCTTGTTATTAGAAACATTTATCATGGGGCTTTTGGAGAGTTAATTGGAAAGCCAGATGTAGACAAGTGTTTGCACTGCCCAGGGCTCTCTCACTTGACCTTTGATGTGAAACAAGAGTTGCTGTTGGCCCATCCTCTCTGCAGGTCAAGGATGGTGCTTGGTTAATCAAAATCGGAAGTGCCCACTGAGAGGGAGAGAATTGAGTCTCTAGGTCTTTTTTCATGGAAATCTCCAGGAGAGACTGTTCAGGGATGGAGTGGTGAGGACTGGCTGCACCCACTCAAAAGCAGAGGCTTCATGCACATAAATGCTTCAACCCTTCATGTTGGTCTTTCTTTATAACCCTGTCCTTGCTTTGTCTGGTTGATTCCTTACACCTTGCAGGGGCACTTTTGCTGGAAGAGGGTGCAAAATCTTGCCTACTCTTTCCTCAGGTCCCTAGCCAGCTAAGGGGCTTTCCAGATAGGGGTAACTGTGGTGTTAAAGAGTCCCCAAGATTTTGGGTACTTGACAAGGATTTCTGAAGAACCCTGAACTACCCAGCTTTGTGAATTCTCAAGTCACTAGCTTAGCTCTGATCCTGCTCTTCTGCAAAATCAGTGGCTTTGTCCTCTGCCAATGAAACCAAAGGCTGAGATCAGCCAGGCAAAGGGTGTACTTTCTCCAAAAGTGGTAGCAGCCCTGTTGTTAGAAGGAAATATGTTCCTTCCTTTTAAATACAAGAATATTGTTTCCTTCAAGGGAAGACTTCCTCATTTGCTATAGAGCATGAGCTGTAATTTCATTATATATAGTACATAATAGGAGTATAAAACCAAACCTGGCTCAGCATGGGAACCACATGACACAGAATTTTTGCTTTCCAGCTGATGCTGTCTTACTGCCCCTCCTAAGTATTTCCTTGTAACTTGCCCACATCTGTCAAAAATAGAAATCCACTTACGGGTGGACCACGGGGCCCGATGATAGACATGCCTGCTTCTCCTGGAGCACCCTGCAGATATACAATGGAGAGGAAAAGGTGTCAAAAACTGAAGGGAGGAAAATACAAAGACAATTATATACCCATCAAGACTGGGGTTAAACAAGGGTGCTTAAGGTGTGAGACCTTCAGAGCTTATAGGGCAGCTGCTGTTCCAGCCTCCCCCAGCTCTTGCCCACACTTTGGAAGAAAAGATGTCATTTGGAGCTACTCAGATGTGCCAGAAAATGGAAGCTGCACAGCAAGGAAAACTATAAACACTTAAAACACTTTCTAGCAAAATTCAGATTCAGCTCCATTGCAAGTGTGAAAGACGGCCTGAAACCCTTGCTGTTTATTTCCTGCCAGTCCAGAAGGACTGTGTCCTGCAGAAGAAAGAAAAGAAGGGATGTGTTGGGCTCCACGGAAATGGGAGCTGCAAGGACTTCACTGGCTGCCTCCAGAAATGCCTCACTTGTGTGCTTCTCAAACTCAGTTGCGATGTGGATGAAAACAGCAAAGTCCTTGCTGGAAAAAAAAATAACTGCCTCTCCAGCTCCTAGCCACCCACGACGTGCACTGTGCAGGACATGTCCTTGTCTTTGGAAAACATGGCATATTCCTGAGAGGCAGTTCCAGAAGCGCCCAGGCCTGGGGAGCTTTGGGATGGAGCATCCCATAAACCAAGTGGCCTGCAAGCAAGCAGAGCTCTCTTCAAAACACAGCTGGTACCTAGGACTCTCACAGAGGGCTTTGGGAAAGCATGGGCTTTAAGAGTAGTTTTTCCCTTGTTTGTTTGTATCTATCTGCTATCTTTTCTTGCTGAAAACTGGCCAGAGAGAAATGCAAGGACACACAGAGAAAAAGCAGGATGGCTTCAGGCAGTGAAATTTTGGTCTGTTAGGTAATGTTGGTTGGCTTCAATGAGCAAGCAGTAGCTTGAAGGCAAGGAAGGATAATCTCTCCTACCTTGCTCCCTCCTTGTTGTGTTTTATTGTCTATCTTCTAAGAAGAGGAGCAAATGAACCTGATATGGCAGCATGCAGATGATCCCCTTATGAGGTGAATATATATCCCTTTCCTAGTTTCTTCATGTTCTTATTCACACACGCCAAACACTTTTATTTTGCTGCTCTCATAGGTGGGGAATACTCACAGCTCTGGGGAAAACAGACTATGCTGAAATATCAAACGCATCAAAACATGGGGGTAAGCAGTAGGATGCTTTACAAACTACCACTTCTTTGCAGGTATAAAACACCACCAGTTCAGTGGACAGCAAACAGCTTGTGAGATGGCATTTCACAGACTTAAATTACACCGTCAGTTTTACTTGGTAAGAAGACATCTCACTTTATTAGAAATAGGAGAGTGCTGTGCCATTTTCTTCCTTGTTACAGCTTGCACCAGGGATTGGGCTAACCTGGGAGGTGGAAGGGAGCTGCAGGTTGATTAGGGCAAGTGGAGCTGCCAGCAAGGAAGAAACTTGAGGGTTAAAACCCAGGAAGCCTTGGAGGGAGCTCTGCGTGTGCCCGCTGGCTCTTATGTTGTTAGTAAACTGTCATAAACAAGAAACACAGCATCTTTGGAGGCTGAGTGGCCTGGAAGGAATTTGGGAGATAAACTCACACCACCGGGGAAGAAGGGGCAGGCTGGGGGGGTGAAAGACCAAAGCTGGCTGCAGCAGCCATGACTATGACTGAGGGGCTCTGGCTGGCGCTAGATCAGGACAGTCGGGGATGCTAAGGGCTGTGAGGAGCTGACTCACCTTCTCTCCGGGTTGCCCTTTTAATCCCTGGGTCAGTGGCACCCATCACAGCCACATGCAAGAGGGTGCAGAGGGGAGAGAGAGAGAGAGAGAGAGAGAAACAGACACACAAACACAGGCGTCAGCGGCAAGGGTACACTACCCCACACCAAAACCCTGGCTACGGAGCTGGAATAAGTAAAGTGGCCTCAGCTCCTGCCCCAGCCCTCTTCCCCATCCTCACCCTGGGATGTCTGAGCAAAGAGCAATTCCAAAATACAGTGCTCGGACAGGCAGGGGATACCCCCTTTTGTTCAGGGCAGAGCTGTTTGGAAAGGGCAGCTGCCTGTGGCAGCAGGGGTGTATGTTAGCAAGCCCATGGTTAGCAAGCCCAGCCAACACATGAGGTGGCAGCAAGAGGCACCCAATTGGTGGAATGGGAGGATGGTGTTTGCTGAACCAGAAAAGGGTCTGAGCAATATGGCAGAGCAGATGGAAACACCCCCCATACTGCATGTATGCAGTTTGCAGGGCTGGCCACCCTGCTGTGACAAGGAGAGCCCTCAGGTGTGGGGGTCAGGGAAAATGGCTTTGCTCACACTGACACCCACCAAGGATCACCTTGAAAGTCCTGCCCTAAATCTTGGAAGTTGAAGAGGATGGGGAGAACATGGCACATACAAGAAGTTTCCACTTACCGGTCGTCCAGGGATCCCCATCGCACCTTTGTCTCCCTGGCAATTAAGGCAAAATCAGAGGCAATTGGAAACTGACCAAAAGCAAGGTTATAAAACAGCACAAATGAATTATGCCACAGATGTGGCTTCACATTGCATTGCAAGTGTCCAGGGATTTTGAGAGAGTGAGACAGCAAGCGAGAGAAAGTGTGTTTGTGTGTAGCTGAACCTGTCTTTAAGAACATGCATAAGCAGCAAGTTGGTATGTGCATATGACAGACCAGCACATCTCACAACAGAAATTACACCTGGTGATTTAGGCAGCAAAAGAGCAAGAGTTTTCAGCCTAACAAAGTATAATCTCAGTTTTCAGTACTTCATAAAATCCAGATCTTGGGAACGGGCTTCCTGCAGTAGCAAACTGTCATGTTTTACTCTCTCTTTACCAAAGTCATCTGGGTGTTAGCTATTTATTTATAGAGTTATCACTTTAAAACAGGATTCTCTTAGACTTGAAAATAGAGCCCTGTCCAGAAGCAAAAGAAAAATGTGGGAAAACAAGCTGACACAGGAAAAAGCATGTCTGGAAGAAGACATATGAGCGGCTGTTTCAGTGTCCTCTACCCCTTTGAGATACTTCTCAGTGCATTGTCATGGTGTGAACAATCCAAAGAGTGTTTTGGGGAATGACTTTGGGTCAGGTGACACTGAGCAGAGCCTCATAAACACATGAACATAAGATTGGTGGCAATTTTCTTTGGGCACTTACCTACAAGGCAGTTTCCTACATTTAACTACGCAATTTGCCAAAATAAAAATTTTAAAAAAATAAATTAAGTCAATTCCCTTTGCATTCCTGATCACCAAAACCGAAGGCTGTGCAGATTCGGAAGATAGCAGCTGCCTGCTAAAGGATCTTGACAAATATGGCTTCAGCACTTATGTAGCTTTTGGTCTATATTTTGCAAAATTGATGTGATAATTATCTCTCAGTTCTGTTTCCACCGATGTTTGGGGTTTCCTTATATAAAACAGAGTGTCCCTGCCAATGGCTGCCTGCACCCCTGTACCTGTAAACCTGGTTTTCTGGTTTCTGCAGCTGGAGACACCAGCTCCATTGATGCCATTTCTTTGTACCTTCCCCCTGTTCAATCCCAACATGTGAATGTAGTGTGAAATCTCTGGATGGGGAATGCACGTAACTCTGTTTTGCTGGGTGTATGAACAGAGGCTCCTTTGGCCATGCATCCCAATCTCAGACATTATTGCCTAGGATAAACCGTTACTTGGTGAAACTTTAGCCACTTCCTTCTGTGTAGCTGGGGGGCTGTTGAGTATTGGCAGCATTCCTTTCCATGCAGTGCATGTTTTCATAAATTGAAAAGCAACATATGCTTTGCAAAAGCATCCCTTGCAGATGGATGAACAGCTAAGCAGCTGCTTGACTGTAAATTTTGTAGATGAAATATTATAGGAAGCTACTTATTCTAGGGTTTTAGGTCAGTTCTCAATCCCACTAATATTTGCCTATGTCTGTGTGCTGGCAGCAAGCGAAACTCCTGGTGTCAGCATCTTGCCATGGGGTTAATCTGAGGCTGCTGGAGGATGTAATACTGAGTTTTCCTGTGCTTTATTTCCCTTAAATGCTGCTTTCCTCCATAGCTGAGCTCAGGCTGATCTCCCTCTTAGTTTGAGGTAAAAAAGCTGATTTCATTTCTCTTGGCTTTGCAGTGGCTGGTGCCCAGGCAGGAAGAGCTTAAGCTGAGGGCAGAGCTGTGTCAGGTCTCCAGCGAGTACCTGGTATTGGAGCGGTACATGACAGCACTGTGTCTGGTATGTGACTGCGCAGCGTTACAGCCCTCCAAGCAATAATAGCAAAGGGAGAGCTCCCAGTAGGACAGCAAATAAATGCCAGATGTTTATAATGAAAGGTTGTCTGTGACAGGGAGCCAGGAAAGAGCACTCCAAGGTGGATGATACCATGTAAGTTGGTTACGAAGTCATGCAGAGCTGCCTGCAGCTCCCACATTGGAACTAGAGGAGCACAAAAGGCAGCAAGCAGCCTCTCTCCTGAGTCAGGGGGAGCCAGCAGTACAGTTTACATTTCGCTCATTAGGAAACTGCCTGTTATGGCTGCTGCATTCTTCAGGTGAGCTGCAGCCCAGGGAGCAGGAAGCCATAGCCAAGAAAGCACACAGCTGTAATGCCAAACCCTATGCTCCTTCTTCACTCATGGCTATCTCTCTCAGATGCAGACACTGTTATCACAGACTTTTACATTTGTCCCAGAATGATGTAGGCCTTTTAAATCCTACTGCAATTAGCAAGCACCATCAGCAAGAATACTACACACTGTGCCTCTTCAACCAGACCCTCAAGCTGACAAAGGCATCTTCAAACATAATACATTTCCTACATGCAGGAGGATTCATAGGGATTATGTTACCCTTAAGTTTGCTCCTACAAAGCTCCTGTGGTCCCTACTCTGTTACAAGACATGTCTCATGTGCTGTTTGGATTTGGTATTCCACGTTGGGATTGTTATGCAAGATTACTACCTTCTCCCAGTTTATAAACCCTGGAGGCCTACCAATGAAAGTACTGCCAGATACAGAACATGAGGGAGCGAAAAAGGAAAGAATGACGTATTTACCGGGAGCCCTGGTCTTCCTGTAAGGCCCTGAAACAAAGTACATAGAAATGACGAAAGTTAGCTTCAAACTCCGAAGAAAGGGCATGATAAAGAGATGAAATCACATGAAAGGGTTTAGGAAACGGAATGGTTAAAAAACTCTCCACAGCTCCTTGACCATGAGCTCTGATTGCTTTGGTTTCCTAATCTCCTGTTTGTGAAGTTTTCTCTCCTTTCAGCATGGCTCTACCCACAGCTCTCCGCTCAGGCTCTGAAGGTATCTGAAGTCCATGGAGAGCAAGCTAATTACAGGGCCCTGACTTTTTTCCTGATTTTCCATCTGCTAAATATTATTTTTTCATGTATGGAATTGTTGCAATTGCCACAGAAATGTTGCATGTTCAGAAATGGGAGAGAAAATGTCCGTGAGAGGATCTTTTCCTTCGGATGTGGTCCAGACGGCAATTGAGTCTGGGAACCTCTGGACTATTGCATCATTTCATCATTTCCTTCCTTCCTTTGCCCCTTTTAGTCCCAATCTCACCAAATTTCTTAAGTGACTATGGGTTGCCCCTGTCTTCACCAAAGCATCAACTGATTTCAAGAACAACGGTGGGAGCATCTGTTGGGCAAGAGGAGAGTATGAAGGCCCCTTTGACCGCTGGGGTGTTGCTCAGCCATTTCCCTGTATTTTCTCCTGGTCATCCTACACTACAAACAGGGCTCAGTGCACTTCTAATGAGTATTTCTGCCCATCCCCAAACTCAAGCTGACACTGGGTTCTAAACCCTACTGCCCAATATGCTGTGTTTTGCAAGGCGGGATAAAACACCAGGAGAGAGTAGTCATCAGTGTGTCATCAGTGCTTTGGGGTTACTATCCAGCATGATGTATATGACAACCATCCAGGCAGAAGCCCATGTCTGTTGCTCATAAACTTGAGTTTCCATGCAGTTTTAATCACAAAAAATATAGGGGGAGGGGGGGCAGGGAGAGGAAAGAAATATTTCCTATGGTGGCATGGAGCACTTTGCTTTACTCTTCGGCAGTGAACTGAGCTGATCAGAAACCCAGAGGTCCTTAAAGAGGCAAGGGTGCTGTTAGCCCAAGACATTCCACTTTGGCTAATGATGCTTGGTCTGCCTGACTTCCTCTTGTTATTTCCATTGGCTGAAGCATTCCTCGCAGCCTGTCCTGAAAGTCTGCATGCGGAGACAGGTTCAGAGGTTGCAATAAGCCAGGATACGGTAGCACATATTGTCAGCACTTCTCTGGTGGTCCCATGTGTTTCTGCCAGGCTTCAATCTTTCATTACGATATTAAGTTTCTAGCCCTTATTGCTGCAGAGGAAGCCTGGAGTGCGTGTCTTCCTCACCCTGCAAAGGCGCAGACTGCTCTCCAGGAGACGTCTGTGTTGACCTTGTGCTTTCTCTCTAATTTCTCTTAGCAATAATAGAAATGCTTCACCAGCACCGATTTTGTGCCTGGCCCATCGCTTTAGCACTGACCTATGCTTGCCCAGGGTAGAATGGTAGGGACAGATCTAGCTGGACTCCACTTGCAGCTCCTCTGGAGCAGCGCTTTCTTCCCAATAACCCAAAGCTAACACTGAAATACATTCACTTCAGCAGCCAGTCCTGAAAGCCCCTAGGATCAACTATTGCTGAAGGTTTGCATGGATCAGGGATTCCAGCTGTAAAATGCTTTCAGACCTTTTGGCCTGGAAGGTGCAATTTTTTGTAAGATTGTTGTCATTAAATAGGGATGTGCTCATATATCTGGGAGTTCAGTCTATAGCATTTTGACTTGATGAAAGGGGAAAATAGGTTGTGCATCAAGTACTTCTCCTCAGAACATCATCTGCAAACTGTTTAAGACATTTTTGCATGAACAGACAAAAGATGACTACCGTATGTTTAACTTCTCATGTTCCTCCGCAGAAACCCAGCATAGTTACTGTATTGTACATGAATATAAACCATTTCCTCTGGAAGGATCGTGCTAGAGACAATATAGCATTTCTCTATAATCCTGAGAGATGTCAATACATGGCCTCATTCGTTGCATTGCTTTTTCTGGTTCACCGTGGGTCTCTTAGTAGCTGCAAGAAAATTCTGCAATAACCTAGTTGTTTTCCTGAAGCCTAAATCATCTGCACTGAGGTTTTGCATTAGCTAACATTTAAAAAGGAAGCTGTCAACACAATTTTTTCCTCTGAAATTGATAATTGTGAAGCTATACTTCAAGGCTCATCAGTTCAGCAAGCCCACGAGAGTAGCAGGGAACAAGTCCCTACAGCTCCTGCCATGTGTTTGTGATCTATCTTTCCCTTTGTTGCAAACACGTCTCATTCAGCATGTGGCATCCAATGGATTGAAGCACATACAGCTGATTCCCCCAGGGTATGTGGGGCCAACTAGTAATAAATACATGTGCCCCTCGTGTTTGTCATGTCCCTGTCCCTGTGCTCCCTCTGTCTCATCACCCTCAAAAGCTGCAATGCAGCCGAGAGCAACCCCACAATAATATGGGTCTTGAACACCCACAGTACTTGCTGTTTGATAGGTCCCAGGTTGCCAGGACTGTGAAGGCAGCTACCACACCAGACACCACAGACAGAAGACTTTGCTAGTTCGTGGCCTGCAAACTCTGTGTCAACAGCTTCTAAAACCATAGAGGCTTGGTACTTACAGGTGGACCTGAAAGACAGAAGAAGAAAAAAAAACCAATAAATATTTTTTTAATTCAATAAATCCTAACAAGAAGGACTAAATAAACACACTGTACCACCTTTTGGGGTTGATCCTGATGCTGCTCACATTTGCTGATGCACATACACAAACTCCCTATTCATTACTTAAGTATCCCCAAAATTAGCAGCACTGCTTTACAGTCACCAGGAGTGCAGGGCAGCCTCTGAAAGTCCTGTGTTGGAAAGGCCATGCAAGTCAAACTCTTGACACTGTTAAACTCATTTTTGGTCCTTTGGCAGACAGGGGTCCCCTCCATGAGTGTGACACCACTGAGCAGAGGAGACTTGTTAGTTGTGTGACTCCCCCTCACATCCTGCCCACCCCTTGGGGTTGAGAAGTTGAAAGTGGAGAGGAAAAGAGCCCCTTTCCTGATAAAATGCCTATGCATTTCCCATCAGTATCGGTGATCTTGTAAAGGCATGAAAAGGTTAATGAGAAAACTACAGCTATTAAGCACATCAGGTACCTTTTCTCTTTAGTGCAAGCTTATTTCCCCCTTTGCTTCTGCTCTGTTCCCATAGGAGCCATTCTGACCCTCTTGGAAGGAATTTCCTCAAATCCTTTGGGTTTCTTTTATTTTGGAAAGATTTTTGGAATCTGGCAACGTGGAGCACTGCATCTCCCTCATACAGAACTGTTGTACAGTATATACCAAGGCTTAAACAGCACATTTCTTTCATCAGTTCCCAGAAAATTCCTCAAAATCCTGACAGATACTGTGTGTGTGTGGAAAGAAACCCCTGGCCTGACTATTTTGTGGTTTCCTCTCTGTGAGAGAAGCAAGATGCACCATACAACTGTCAGGGGGTTCTACATTTTCCATAATTTATAGACACTCTGTTTTCTTTTTTCTTTTTTTTCCCCTCTCTTTATGTGAAGTGCCAGGAAGTAAGACTAAACAGCGTAACAGGAGAGCTGACAGATAACAGGCAGCAACCTCTTCTTTGCATGGGAGGTGGATGTCACGGTGAGCACCTGCAGAATACGCTGTCATTCTGAAAATACCCCTGGCTGAAAGTCCACCAAAGAAACTGGAGACTTTGGCTGAACAAACATTTTCCACATTGGAAATCTCCCACTTAGCATGACTCCTTCATACCAAGGACTTCAGCAAATGGCTTGGCTATCAAGCTTTGGTACCCTAAAATCGCACTGTGAATGGCACTCTAAAGAGCTTTGCTCAGCTTTCATTATTGTTGATCAAAAAAGGTTACCTCCAAAGGTTACCTTTTGGTTAAAAAAAAAAAAGAAAAAAAGAATGTTTAGCACATTCATGGTGACGGACGGATAGATAGTGCTAAAAAGCCAACATTCACAGCCAGAAATCTCAACGGCTCAAAACATCTCCATCCAAATTTAGGGCAGGGGCTCAGGGGGACCCAAATTTGCTGGGTCTGGCGATTACCTATCACCGGTGTTGGTGCTGAGGTCACTATCCTGCTTGGTATGCCAAATCTAAACAACAAAAGTGTTTCTCATCAGAAAGTTCATTTTGGAGGGCAAGGTCAGACTCGGATACAGGAATCCTAATTTATGCCAGACTGGGAGAAAAAAAAAGTAATTTTTCCAAGTCTGGCCTGCATGACAATAAAGTTCTGTGAGGACAGTTTTGGAGAGATTTTGTTTCAGAGTAAGCACCCTGTCACAAAGTCAATGCTTATAACTTGCCAATATACGGACTTTATTTCCATTAGCAACACTATAGACCCATAATAACCCGCCTACCTGTCTGCACAGGGACAGACTGGGGCACTTGCAGGTTGCATGAACCAAACCATTTAGCTAATACTGAAAGAAAAATTTAAAGGCAAACAAACCCTGAGCCACCGTACCCTTCCAGACCAAATGTGACCAGACAGCAGCACAGCGTGTAATGGTATTGCAATACCGCTGAGAGAAAAAACACGCTTTTGCTTGCTCCAGAAGCTACATCCGCAGAGCAGAGTAAATCAGCAATGCCATCAGTTCTGGTCCCACCAAGCCACACACCCCACACAGATCAAAGGCAGGAGGCATATTGGAGGCCCATCTTTGTTATATGCCCTCTATAAAATTAATGGTTATGTGGAGGGGCCTGCACAGTCTTGTATAAACACAGCTCAGTGAGCTGCAGGCACACAATCTTGGCTACAATAAGTCAATCAGTAGAGACCATCCAGGGACTAGGCTTCAAATGCTGGGACCATCCATGTGACCCAGGAGACAGAGCCCTTGGATATAGTCACTTGTAAAAGCAACATCATCATGCATGGGCTGAAGGAGGAGGAGGGAAGATGTGCCAAGGATAGTGGGGAGGGAGGAGGTGCTGCTGGATAAGCTATTGCAAAGCACTGGGGATTTTACAAAGTGAAATAATGCTTCAGCAAAGTGGATTTGTCATGTTCTGTCAGAGTGATTAATGAGAAGGCCAAGCAGAGCTTCTAAAGAGGCTCAGTCTCCAACATAACAAGGAGTAACGCACATTAGAGGAAAGAGCAGGCAAATGAGAGAGGGGATCCTCCTGTCTCCGCTTTCAACCTCTCTAACCAAAGATGGCCAGTCTGAGACAGCCTCTTGCGGGCAGCACCAGCTGTGCTCATGCAATGCACCAGGGTTGCCCCTGGCCAGGGGACTGGCAGAGACACCTTGGCCTGGTCAGAGATGCTGGCAATCCTGTGTAAGCCAAGGGAGCAAACATACAAGTCAACCAGACTGCACAGAACCCTTCATGAAAGGAACATGAACTGTAACAGAATCACTGCAACACCACTGGATGTTGCTCCCCATGCTCCCTGTCCCCTGCAGTCCCAGGCAGACTGGAGCAGCTGCGTAGAAAGAGGCCTTATTGCCCTCTTTGGTGGGCCAGGCCTTGATGGTGGTAAACTCCAAAATGCTCCACAAATGACGAAGAGCAAACAACCTCAAGAGCTACAAGTGCTAATCTCATCTATAGGGGTTCCTACTCTTCTGTGTTTACAGCAGACTCTTTTTGGGTGAGATAGAGGTGCTGCTGCTTAGGAGATGAGCTAACTCCCCTTTCTCTAAATAGTAAGCAGAGAAGGGACAAGAAGTCAAAAG